GGGCTCGGGCAGCGCGGGCTGGGAACGCGGCTCCCGCGGGGAGCCCCCGCCCCGGGCACTGCGGGACAGCGGGGACAGCGGGCCGGGGGCTCTCCGCCCCCGCAGCTCCGCGCTGGGGCTCGCCGGCTCTGGGCCGCTCTGAGCGCGGCCCCTGGCGCGGGGATGCTGCTTTGTGCCTCGAGTAAATGGAATTTCTGTGGAGCCTTTAAATGACAGCCTGACCGGGGCAAAGTCATTGAGGCCGCCCCGCTTAACCTGTCTGCTCAGGTAAGGAGGAACTGTCAGGAGCTGATCACGGCACGTGACTGCAAGGTCAGGATCGATCGCTCTCCTTCGGCCCGGCTCCTTGCTGGTGTTATCAATGTTGAACTTCAGTATAACGAACCAGGCCCGTGTTTTCTGCAAGGACAGGCGGTTCCCTTTCCAGGGCAATTTTGGAATGTGAATCCCGGCTCTAGGTGTAGGAACTGTACCATGAGGACACTTAGGCCGTGGAGTGAACTTCACGTTTTCATTTAATTGCTCCAGCTGCTTCCTCAGCCATGTGGCTGCTGTGGCAAGCACTGCTTGCCCGTGGCAGTGACCTTGGACATCTCATGTGGGGCTACAAGTAAAAATAGATCTAGCTTAAGTTACTTCTCCCACAGCATTCCTTACAATTTACCTGAGACTTGTATTGTTTGTAGTTGTTTCTGTTGGTGCCAGCATAGTGTGAGCCTTTTGCCATACACGGTACGTGTCAGCAAAGGTGAGAAATAACAAATACAAATGGAACAGGAGAGGAATACAAATTGTCAGATTCCGTTCTAGCTGATAGCTGCAGACAGCCTGCACATGTGAGTGTGGCAGAGCTGAAGGAGTGTCGATTTACAGTTAAAAGCCTTCTAGCTCTTTAACCACAGAGCCATCAGTAGTCCTAGAAAGGAGAGTAAGACTGGGAGGCTGTGATTTCTCTGCAGATTGGGAATTTTGTCCATGATGTTCAGCTAGACAAGAGCTCAAGCTTAGTTACCACCCCAGTTTTGAAGCTTAATACCAGTTCAGAATATTCAGATGTTAGAAAGTGTAATTCTTTGACTATGCTTTCTAGACTCGTTGCTATGGTGAATTTTGTCTTTAATGTGCATTTCAGTTATGCTTTTTAAAACCCATCAGGCCTGCAAAAGGCAACAGTGCAAATCATACAGCTACAGGAGGCAGAAGAACAAAATTCACCACGTTTTGAATGGAAGAAGTGACACTGATGCAAAGTAGTTTTGGAAACGTCACCTCAGATGCGTGAAGATACTTCCACCCAACTGCTGCCAACAAAGTGTTTCATTTTTCACGTTGCTTTCCACAAATCCCAATCCTTAGCATATCATCTGTTTAGCTGAGTTACTGCAGCCTTGCTTCCAGTCTGTTGTGTGTGAGGACTCCAGCAATGGTGCAGGGGCTTCCCCTCACCCAAGGCACGAAGGGCTGTCCTGGGCTCACCTTGTGCTAAGAATACTTGGTGCAAAGAATGTTAGACAGCAACTTGGCAAAGCACTGGGTGCTCTTGTTTCACTTGGACTTCTGTACTAGTTTGAGATAGGAAATTTAAAGCAATATGATTTTTAAAATGCAGATTTGCTGCAGTATTGTTAGCGTTTTAAAATCCCATTTGCGCGGTAAAATAGCATCTTTTTGATTTATATTTCTGCAGGTTTCTCGGTTGCTAGGTGCTTTCAAAAACCAAAAAAAGGTGACCAGAAGTTTTGGTAATGCTGTGAGTATAATAGTCCCATTTTTTTCTTTCATGAAGTTTCTCAATAAAGGGGTTTGGAAATTTCGTTGTTATTTTTATATTCCCCAAAAAGAAGGGCCAAACAAGTGAACATACATGCTCTTAATGCCATCCTGGTTAACCATTAACATTGGTTAATCACTGTCATTGCAAATTGTATATTAAGTGTGAGTGATAATACAAGAGACTCTGGCAAAAGATACAAGTGGGATGAAGGTTCTCATAAAATACAGACATAAGCCCAATCTTCTGAAATTCATCTGGAAATGAGCAAATATTGGGCAAAACAGAAAGATTGTTGAGAAGCTTCTCATTTTCTTTCTTTTGCAGACTTCCCTCTAAGCACTAGATTTACTTTACTGCTGCTTTTAGAATACCTTGCATCTAAAATTCTGCCTTTTCAAGGTCCTCTTTAAAGTATCTTAGACGTTGATTGTGTATTTCCCAATAGCTGTTTTACCTTCTTTATGTGTCTGTGTTTGAAGTGCCCATGGGCCTTTTTTTTCAGTGAAGGCAGGAGCAGGGCTCAGCACTGCTGCACATACCTTTAAGCAGGATTTAATTTTAAAGAAGAGCTGTGGCTTCTAATTACAAGTTTTGTGCACCAGCTAGAAAAGAAACCAAAGGGTCACTTATACAGTACAAAAAAGAATCAGGTGAGGCACCTCTGGCTCTGTTCATAGCACACTTAGCTCAGGTGGAGTCTTGCAGTGCTGTAACAAAGCTCTGGGGGTTTGTCATGCACTGAGAATTTCTCTGGCTCAAATGAGTCAAAAAAATCAGTCAACATGTATTGAAATTCTGAATATTTTGTGTGGAGAGGGGTGGTAGCATATCTTGTGAGTAGATTCAGTCTGGAGTTTTGCAAATAATATCCGAGCTGCCCTTTTTCTTAAGTAATGAGAAGCACATACAAAACTGTTGGAACTCTTTAAATAAAGCAGAAAGGGCTGGGGCATGTGCCTCAGACTAGTGATCATAATTTATTCTTTTTTTCATCAAAGCAGAGTACTTTCTTCCCTCATTATTCGTTGAGCCTGAGCCGTGCAAAGAAAGAAACAAGACTAAGAACATGGGAGGAAAATAAGCTGGTATTGTCAAAAACAGGTCTGAGATTTTTAGGAGGTCACTTGAGAAGTTTACATTGGCATGACCCTTTTTTTTTTTTTTAAGATGAATGCAGCTTTTCCTATCCCTTTTCTAGCATGTGTCAGTGTTACACAGCGTGTTGGTAATGCTGGAGGCACATGTGTAACAGAGCCATCACTAGGTAACACCACCTCCTCTTCAGATTGCCACAGAAACTATGCTGAGATCATTCATTCCAAGGAGTACTGAGCAGGAACCTGCCTTTCACATTCGACCTCTGTTTTGAAATAGGAATAGATAGTAGGCAAATTTTTAAACAATTCTCTCCAAACATTTTCACAGTCCCTTGGAAAGCAAGGGAGTTCATTCTCACTTCTGTCCAGGACTGCTATTCTTCATAGTGAATATTTGGTAACTGAAAATTTCTCTTGTTTTCTAATAGTTATTTGGTTCCTACAACACATGAAAATGTTTTCTGTGCAGAAAACAAACATTCATTTGTTGTACTACTGATATTTCTTTACCTAGGTACAAACAGTAACTTTAATCCCAGGAGATGGCATAGGACCTGAGATTTCTGCTGCTGTCATGAAGATCTTTGATGCTGCCAAAGTAAGTCTCATTTGTCTTGCTATAAGAATTTTAAGTTTAACTACAACAACAAATACTAACTAGGTATGTTTAAAAAGTTTTCCCTTTAGCTTCCAAAAGATAAAGTAATATTTAAGCTATTAAAACTTCTTGAGAATAGAGTTCAAAGCTTTAAGTAATAGAAGACAGGAATGTGATATCAAGGCAGGGCCTGAAACTGTTATCTGGCAGACAAGTAGAGAGTTGAGAGCAAATGCTGTGCCTAATTTTTGGGAATATGAACTCAATGTATCATGTGATACTCAGTGTATCACCTGGTTGATGTAGTAATCCTGAGCAACTGGTAAGAGCAGGTTCTTTCATTGATTGTGACTTCCAGTGCAGGTGGAAGTGTGTGTGAAAGGACTGGCTTATTTTTAGGAATCAAACTGCTGCACTGCCAAACACATCAACTGAAGTGATATGAAAACTCACTATATCCAAGAGGTGTGGTCCTGCCCACCTGAGGAACTTCACCAGAATTGGTCAAGTTTCCTTGAAAGGAAAGAGAGCTCTTCAGGCAAGATGCCTGTTAAATTGTTCCACATTAGTAACAGCACCAAGGCATATTCCCTTTCTATTACAACTATCCAGCCTAGATTTGCAAAAAGTGAATTTCTCTTTAACAATGTTGTATCTTTTCCTTTATGGCCCTTCCTGCTGAAGTGAAGGGCTGGCAGCCTGTCTCCACTCAGAAGATTCCTGTGGTGAATGCAAATTCAGAAACAATTGTGGAACACATGCAGATTTTCAGTTAGATAACAGATACATATCTGTGTCATGTACTGTGTTCCAGGCAGGAGAGATGATGAGTTCTCAACTAATTCAGTTTTCAGATGTTGTCTCCTGTATACAAAGAACTCACCAGCTCTGAAAACTTGAAAGAAATAGCACCTGTCTTGCAATTCTAACCAGATCTGTGTATATGACACCTAGGGATGCATTGTGGGATTCAAGTTTATGATGATGTGCTGCTCATACTATTTCATTTTCACTTAATTACCTTTTTTAAATGCTGCTTTAGTTCAAACATCTCATGCTTACTTTCACTTACCAGAGAAAATTTGTTTTATGAAAACCTGGACAAAATTCCTAATGCATCTTTTTATGAAAGGAAAGTTAAAACTTGAAGCAAAAGTCATGCCATTTAAGTTAACGTGGAGTATATGTGTTTAGGCTCCTATTCAGTGGGAAGAAAGGAATGTTACAGCTATCCAAGGACCAGGAGGGAAGTGGATGATACCCCCAGAAGCCAAAGAATCCATGGATAAAAACAAAATGGGATTAAAAGGTATTTTAGGGGTTAATACGCAGATATTAAATACTGTTGTTTTTATCATGAGTCTGACTTAAAGCCAAAGTTCTTCATCTGTAGCACAATAAAATGGGTAATTATAGGGGACAGCCTGTCCTGTTATCTGTAATCTTGAAACAGTCCTTCATTTCCAAGCCATAATTTTGATAGTTCTCATAGCTGAAGGTGGGTATTACTACCTTCCAACCTTTGGACTCTCTGCAGAAAGCATTTCTAAGATACACAATAGCATGCAATAACTGTATTTATAATGAGTAGTATCTTTATATGTGTTTTCAGTGAAAACCTTTAGTAAATTCTCCTATTCCATATCAGGATTGCGGTTTGGCCTTTCAACAGCCGATTGATGTCCCTGTGCAGCACTTGATAACACAGAGAGTTCCCTGACATTTCAGCAGAAGGGTTAAACGGGAATTTGGAGATCCTCTCCAAGAGTACACTGGACCCAGAGTTTCAGCTCTCAAACCCATGCGTATATTTTTTCATCCAGGGCCTTTGAAGACCCCCATTGCCGCAGGGCACCCCTCCATGAACCTGCTGCTGCGCAGAACCTTTGACCTCTACGCCAACGTGCGTCCCTGCGTGTCCATCGAGGGCTACAAAACCCCCTACACGGACGTCAACATCGTCACCATCCGCGAGAACACGGAGGGCGAGTACAGCGGCATCGAGCACGTGGTACGTGCTGCCAGGGCTGCCTTCCTGGGGGCTTTCTGTGTCAGGGCTGGTAACTGCCCACCTCAGGGGGGTTCACGGTGGTTTTTGTTTGGCGCTTTCCCTCTGAAATGCAGTGTTGGGACTGCCTCCCTCACCACTCTGCTCCCTCACCACTCTGTTCCCTCAGTGCTCTGCTCCCTCACCGCTCTGCTCCCTCACTGCTCTGCTCCCTCACCGCTCTGCTCCCTCACCGCTCTGCTCCCTCACCGCTCTGCTCCCTCACCGCTCTGCTCCCTCAGAACTCTACTCCCTCACCACTCTGCTCCCTCAGCGCTCTGCTCCCTCACCACTCTGCTCCCTCACCACTCTACTCCCCCTCATCCCAGTGACTTGAAGAATGATCTTACACTTTTATACCAATGTACTCTGTCTCTCAGATCGTCGATGGGGTTGTGCAGAGCATCAAGCTGATCACAGAGGAAGCCAGCAAGAGGATCGCGGAGTTCGCTTTCGAGTACGCCAGAAACAATCAGAGGAGCCACGTCACAGCTGTGCACAAGGCAAATATTATGTATGTCCACACTTCTTTATGAGGAGGACAGAATAACAATATGCATTTAATTATAAACAACTTTTTAAGTCTTACTCGAATGTGTAACTTCTGTTGATGCCACTGGGAGTAAGTAAAATGGCAAAAGAGTGAAGTAAATGCCTCCTGAGTGAAGTAAATGCCTCCTAAGTAAAATGGGTGATACTGACCTAAATGCCTCCTAAGTAAAATGGGTGATACTGATACACTTATTAGCAAGTTTTTAGGAATCCTTTCGTGCAAAGCTCTTATTTTAAAAACTTTAAAACGTGGCAAATTAGTTTAAAGACTGAGGATGAAAGTGGCTAGTGTCTTTTACAGTTTCCAAGCCTGAACTGAGTCATAGCATGTGGGATGTGTGACACCTCCTTTACAAATCCACTGAGCCTTTAGTAAAGGAATAGAAGGCATTCTGACAATGTATGTGTATGGCTGTTAAACTACTGACACAAAAATGTTTTAGGAGGAAATTTAAAAGGCATAACTTCTCTGTAATATATTTAAAATATTAGTTATATTTAGGAGATAGTCACAAATCAAGTTTCTGTAATCTAGTATTTTTATTTAAATCTCTCTTGCATGCAGTTTTCTTTGCACCTTGAGTACTGCTTCCTTACAATAACTGCAATATTCTCTTGCTTATCTAATTGCAGGAGAATGTCTGATGGGCTTTTCTTGAGAAAATGCAGGGAGGCAGCAGAAAACTGTAAAGATATTAAATTTAATGAAATGTATCTGGATACTGTGTGTCTGAATGTGAGTATTTATATATTTTAATTTTTGTTGAGGTTTTTTTGTTGTTGTTTAAATTCTTAACCTTAATGAAAATATACTTCCTTCTAGATGGTTCAAGATCCATCACAATTTGATGTGCTTGTTATGCCAAACTTGTACGGTGACATCCTCAGGTATGGAGATTGTAATTTAAACTAACCCAACACATAAAATACTGATACTTTCCCAACAGTCATCGAGGTTATGTGCAAGCCAGATGGGTGATCTATGCATCCAGAGTTTAAAACTTCATAAACCAGACTTGAAATGGGAAGAAAGGATGGTATTATTACACTTCAATTATTAGTATGTTGTTGAGTGGGGCTATAGGATGAGAATGTGCTTTTTATTTAAAAGAGAAGTTGCTGCTTATGGAGTCTATGAATATTGTTCAGATGGGGCAGAAGAGAAATTTCTCCAAATGTGTGGAGAATGTAATGGCTTACATTGCAATCAAGAATGTTTGGTTAGAGATGAGGGAAAAACCTTCTCATCTTTAGCACTAAAATAGATTTTGTAGGGTGACTGTGGGACCATGATGTGTACAGAGAGCTACTCACACAGAAATGATTCTGCAGAGTCACTGAAGAACCAAATGTGTGGCCTCTTCATATCCTACCAGTTCTTGTTTTACGTATTATGTTTTCTCCTTACCTTCAAATTAAATTTCATATTTGAACTACATGAATGCTGGAGGAGCTTGGTCTCTTGAAGGCAAAATCCACCAGCACACATTTTCCATTCTGTAAAATGTTTAGGTAGAGTGTAAATTCCATCAAATACTGTGTGTAAAATGAAGTGTCTCATCTGAACTTTAAGTGTGGAACATAACATGGCATCTCCTTGCACCTCTTAAGGAGACATTGAGAAAACAACCTGAATCAGGATTTGTTTTAAAGTTCAATGACTGTTTACATCTTAGAACCCATCTCTTGTTTGTCTGCAGATAATAAATGTAAGGGTACCTTACATATAAGAAGAAATGCTTCTTAAGCTCTTTTAAAACTGCCCTCTCTCTGTGATAAGGGTGGGTATTATACAATTCCAACCTTTGGAATCCCACTCCAGGAAAAATCAGGTTCCAGCTAATGCTTCTTGCTTTAAGAATTGGTAGAGGAGTGCCCAGGGCCCTCATAGCTGCTGTTAGCTGTTAACTAAAGAGATCAAATCACATGAGTCCCAGCATCAGTGCTGTTGCAACTCCCTTCACATAGTTCAGTAGCACCCGTTTTAAAGTTCTCAGAGAAATTCCATAAAAAATTGCAGTTCTAAAAATTTGCAATAAATCTGAGTCTGTCCTTGAAGAAGGCACTGTGATCACTGGGTGAGGCCTCACCCACTGCTTCTTTAAAGCATGAGCATAATGCCAGACAGGTTTCTTGGACTGAATAGGTACAGAAGGTCTCTTTCCTTGAAACATTTAATAGTTACAGTGACAAATTCAACTCTATCCATTTTTTCCCCGGACTCTATAAAGCTTTGTTTTAGATTAAACTCACAATATTGTTCTGTAAGGTCAAACAAACTTTTCTGCTTGTTAGTCCTTGCTGAGCTGAGTTGTGGGCAATGTGTATATCTGAAAACACCCGAGTTTTAAGAGCATTGTTTGTCAGTATGTTCAGCTCTGAGGGTACAGCCTGATGGCTACAGGCACAGTTGGTTTGTCCTTGCCCATGTTAATTTTGGAGGAACCCAAATGCAGATGGCTGATGACCTGCTAATGTCAGACTGGTGACTTACAGGCTGTTCAGGAAAGGGAGGGGGAAAGTTAATCTGGTGTCACTTGGAAAATATCCCTTAAGCTACACACAATACACTACAAAACTGTTGGTAATTCAGCTGCCTGAGAAAAATTCTTCCACCTTTTTTCAGAAGGACTTTACATATGAAAAGTAGTTCTGTGGCCCCTTCAGAGGAAATAAGATTTCTGGATAGTTACAGGGAGCTGTACATTACAGTTTTTGCTAGTTTTTTAGACTTCTACACATATTCTGTGCTTTTAGTACTTCTTGTTGTGCCTGTGTCTTACCAGCTTTATCCTAGAATTTGGAATTTCCTCTTGGTTTTCCTTTATTACATTGCCTTCTGCTGGTAGTCCTAAAAATTTCCAAACGTTCCAACGGAGCACAAGGGGCTCTCAGCATCTGTTCTTAATATTATTCTCAGACTGTGTGTAAGCACATCAAGTAAGTTACAGTTGCAGTAGATTGATAAACGAATATTTTAATACCTTGCAGAGAGGTAACTATGGAAAAACTTGTGTTTTTTCATTTGATGGTTGGTTTTTTTCAGTGACTTGTGTGCTGGACTGATCGGGGGCCTGGGAGTGACACCCAGTGGGAACATCGGTGCCAACGGAGTGGCCATTTTTGAGTCGGTAAGTTTTGTTATCCAAGGGGGAGCAGGAATAACTGCTTTGTCTCCACTTGGGAATCTAAAACCTCTCCATACTATGCAGTGTGACTGACATTTAACACAGTTCTGCATAAAACTGGTTTTTACTGTGGAGCTGGTGAGGCTTTACCCACAGAGACTGGGTAAAGTGTGTATCGCGTGTAAGTTTTTTGCACGTCCCTTTTCTTGACCAACGTTCTATTTTCCCTCTTTTTCCTAAGATAAATACCCTCTATGAAACAGAACCTGAGGGGCACAATTTAGAGGTATTAGGTGACCTAGTTCTGCCATTCTGATGCCTTTGAACTAAATTGTTTTGGTCTTTGGTGTCTCCTTTCCACTGACCATATTGCTGCAAAGTAACTCCCATTTTAATATACGTGAGGATTTATGGTTCAGGTTCCTTGCACACACTTGGACTGCCTAGGACATTTTAATCAGCATATTGACATCACAACTGATAGGTTTGCTTTTATTTCTAGGTTCATGGAACAGCACCAGACATTGCAGGCAAAGACATGGCAAATCCAACTGCCCTCCTCCTGAGTGCTGTGATGATGCTGCGTCACATGGGACTACACAAACATGCCACAAAAATAGAGTCAGCTTGCTTTGATACCATTAAAGATGGAAAGGTAATGGGAGGGGGTGCAAATAAATGCACTAAATATGATATAATATCATTTTAGTGAACTAAAATAATATTATATCACAGCAAAAATTAACTCAGAACATGACCACCAGAAGGGCAGCTGACCTGCTGTGCTGGCCTGTTGCATGAGCAGTGCCACTGTCCTTCTCTGACAGTCATTATATTATCTTTGGTGGTATTAAGCCTGCCCTTCTCAGTAATTAGGGACAGGCTGTAGCATTCCTGGTGTCTCAGTAATGCTCATCTCACATTTCTACAGCTTTGTGAACTCTAAAAGCTTGAACTGGATGTCTGTTTTTCAGGGAGGGGATTAGAGGTTTAAGTAACTAGTAGCATTTCACTTATAAAGTTTATAAAACATACAATGCATATATATTTAAATCTGGATCCTGAAGTAAAGGACACTCATTTGCCTTTCACGGGCCTTAATCAGCCACTTAGTTTATAACATTCCAGTCCTGACTGTAATACTTCTGTTCCTATTTTTTCAGCTCAGTTATTTTCTTTTTTCCTCCTTACTGCTTTCACTCCTTTTTGAACTACATTTTTTATCCAGTATTTACCTTTTCCCTTAAGATGATACAGGATTTCCCTTTGGCAGTAAGTGTCTCCAGATTTAAGACTCGAATAGGGTATTTGGGGGCTGAGGAAGGATTTATGCTCTGAAACTTGACTTGAATTTGTGCTCTTACCGTTATTGGTTCACTGCTCTGCTTTGATGTCCATCTTTTCAAAACAAAGTTGGAAGGATCCTGGAGCTGGCAGTTAAGGAGGATGAGCAGTTAGCCATGCTGGTTCAGTTACCTTAGCAGGACCACAAGAAGCTGCTTGGTAATTAAAATAACAAGCATGCTGAAACCAAAAGTTGTCATCACTTTGCAAGTGGTCTGTTTGCAGCTACCTTACTGTGTTAAAAAACACCTGAACTTACAAGTGAATAAAGAGGTGCTCCTGTAAACTTCCCATTTACTGCTCTGGAAGTGGAATCCTCCATCTGCAGGTCAGTAACTCTATGGAAGATAACACAGTGCAAGTTTTGTGACATGGCTAGTTGTTCTCCAGGTACTTAAAACATTATGATTATATGCTCACAATGGAGAGAATCTTTTTATTTGAATTTTAATGCAGTTAAAATTACAAGGTCCTACAACAGTAACCTTGATGGCTTCTCATGCTGCTATTCCTCCCTTCCCTCAGTCATTTAATTAAGAGACATGTGTGTCATGTAAGGGGGAAACTAATGATTTTAAATTATCTCCCAGACTGCTTTAATCTAGCTAGGTTAGACCAGCTGTGTTGCCCACTTTTTATTTTACTCTCTCAAAGCTCCCAGACAGGAGTTGTACTTGATGACAAAGATGTTTAACTCTACATTTTCCATCTCTTAATAAACTAAGCAAACTTAAAGAATTATCATGTAGCATTAAGAGTTATGTGTGCCTTTTCTCTGTGGGTTTCCTTCAAACAAACAAAACAAAGCAAACAAAAAACCCCACCCTTATTAATTACTCTCAATTAGTGCTGAGCCTTCATATATGAATTTTACTTCCAAAGGACAAACTTCTTACTGAAAGCCTAAATACTTAACAGTTAATTGCACTATTATGGAGCCAAAGGACTCTGTAGAGCTTTGACCAAACACACTTTCTTCCTGCAGTTAAGATAAAATCACGTTCAAATTTGATAACATTAAAGGACTTCATGTTGATCCTCCAGTTTCTGTGCCTGTGCCAGTCCTTACTGCTGAGTTCTGTGTGGGCTGCACAACCCCTCACACGTCCCGTGTTCCTTCTCACCCCGACTTCCCACCCATGCACAACATATCAGAACGTGTAGAACCGTTCAGGGACAGGACTGTCCCCGTGAAACATCTCAGTAATACTATTTCTTCTTTCTTTCAGGTCTTGACAAAGGACTTGGGGGGCAATGCCAAGTGCTCGGAGTTCACAGACGAGATCTGCCGCAGGGTACGGGACAAGGACTAAACTTCCCTCACCCCGCCCCCTGGAGGACGTGTCACAGAGTACATTATGTGTAACTTGATATCCATATGCAGATAGTTTGCTTATCTCTTGAGAGCAAACTTTTTAGTTAAGGCCTCTCCATTAATAAATTTAGTCCAAATGGCTACAAACGATGCTTGTGCCTGCTTTCAGTGGACTTTTCCAAGTGCTTTGTCTTATTTATTTTTTTTTTTCTATCTGGTGAACATTTTTATGTAAGTGAATTCTTTTATTGGCACTGTAACTGTCTACCATTTTCCATTTCAGTTAGAGGGTTTTACTTTCCAGAAAGAAAAATTATGCAACTATAAACCAGTAACAGAATTAGTGAAATGTAAAAGCACCTTAATGGTTAAAACCTGCTTTATTGGTCTTGCTGAAGTTGAAAAGGTTTTCAGCCTAACAGTAGCACAAGGTGACCTTCTTAAACAGAAACGGGTATAAAATAACTTAAAATAGCAATTTCATGTTAAAAGCAATGAGAAAACCACATTAGATACTCTGGTGATGAAATATAGCCCTGCCCACCAAAGGCATGAATGAAGTACAAAATTCTAGAGATTTAATCTATTTGTGTACTTTAAAAAAGCCCACAACCATTAACTAGCAAAGGGTGAGAATTAATGCTGAAGCAAAGTTATTTTTCAAATCTAGATACCACAATAATTCTTACAAGTTTTCCCTCTCTGAAATACCCTTTCCAACGGAGTTCTGATGAGGGTAAATTATATAAAATTACCTCTGCCATATATTGTGAGGGGAAAGTATTAACTTTGCAGATTTATCCTAGATATTTCATGACTTCTGCTGGAATGCTCTTTGTGTTGTAGCTTTCTGCATAGTCTGTTCAGTGTGTTCTACTGTATTGACTGGTAATTTTATCCAAAACTGAATGTAAGGGACTAGTCCTAAAGGGATTAAGACAGATCAGCAGTTTGGCTCTGGTGCCTATGTTCCAGAAATACATTTCATCCCTATTCAAGGGGATCCAAGACTTATTTTTTTTCCTTGCTTTCTAAGCTTAATGGGTGCAAAAGCAACTCTTTTCCCTCCCTCCTTCATCACGTGCAGATGGTCAGACGAGTCATTCTGACCTGTATGCCCAAAGGTATCTTCCATCAGTGCCCCCAGCGACAAAATGTGTATTTTAAAACTCGTTAGTATAGCACAGGATTATCCCTACTGCCAGAACCAGGCTTCTTAAAGCTTAATTCTATTAATAGAAAGTCACTAAGTGGAGTAATATCTATTAAGACTGTTTTAGGCTGGTTGTTTCAAAGGTGAAATCGTTTCTGAGTAACGACTTCTTGTGTGGCTCTACAAAGTGAGCATCCCAGCTTTTTTCTACAGTCTAACAACATGTTGGAGGAGCTTTATTCCTCAGGCACTCTGCTTTTGGTGAATAGGGCAACATTTCTTTCCGTGTTTTACAAGCTGCTGCTTCCTTGTTTCCTTCGGATTAATATTGTTAAAGAACCTCTGAATGACCACTGCGCACAAAATGGGGAAGAATAAACTTTTCAAAGTCCTCTTGCTTGTTTTGTTTTTATAATCCTAGGCTGCTGCCTTGTCTTGTGTGTTGAGCTGGTTATTGGTACTTGCAGCAAATCTTTAGTCTACAAGATGAGGCTGGTGGTGGAACTTCCATGGAAACAGTCTCCTGTTCCGCCTCACGTTTTCCTCTCAGGAACAGTGGCTGTAGCTGCCTGCCAAGGGTCACTCCCAGCACACCCCTGACACAACTGTGCCAAGCATGTCCTCCACATAACATGATTTATTTTTCATAGGGGTAAGAAGAAATGCAGCTCCAGAATTAGTACAATGGGAGTGTTGGCACATGCAGATCCACGCCAACAAACACTGCTTAAAGAAAAGCGCTGTAAACAATCTGAGAGAAGTGTCTGTTCTGAACAGCACTCCCGGGGGAGAGCTCCTGTATTTACTGCTTTATGTCTTCCAGTCTTGGGGAGCTCTTCCCCCAACTGTTTTGATTATCTGGTTTTAGGAGAAATAGTAATGCTTATTCCAACACGGACTTAGAAATGAGCTGCTGTTTTCACAGAAGCCACTACAGAAATGGAAGAGAAGCCTTTAGGTTCTGAAATGTGTTAGTGAACAACAAGAAACTCCTGTGTAGGAGGAGAAAAAAAATTCAGCCCTTTTGATTATTTTTTTTAAAAATAATTCTCAGTGGAGTGGTCTGGCAGTTTTATTGAGCAGTACTGCCAACTACCAAAATGTATCCTGAGCTGTGGGCAATGGCCTGTGGAACAACAGGGAAAAAGGGAAATAGGAAAATCACTATATAAAAGAATGGTTTTTCAGTCTAGAGGAATTAATTAGTTATACCCAGTTTATACAACACAGAAGGATGTTTTAATCATTTAGGTCATAAAGTAAAAATGGTATTAGAAAATGGACACACTGTAGATGCTTCTGTAAAAAGAGGACAAATGATCAGGTGAGTATCAGGAACAACTAAACTGACACAGCAGCTTTAGTGGTTTGGTTCAATAGACTACAGACTCAAAAAAGGCATAAATCTCCATTAATGCTTTTGATTAGAAAATACTTTCTTTTGCTCACAGATCTTTCTTAATGCTTGGATGAAAGACTTCCTACTCTTCATAGAAGGAGTCTACTTCATTCCTGTATTTCTCGAGCACTGTGAGCCGTTTCAGCTTCATTGTTGGACCTTAAAAGAGAGAGAGAGTCACAATACCAGAAATGGGAACAGAAATTCTTGCCCACTTGGAGCTTTGGTGCCTGAGTTTTTTACTGAAGAGCCTGCTGGAAGCACATACCCCAATTTGAGTGTAGATAAATGCTAAAAGTGAGAAGCCAGTGTTGTATGTAAGGCTGCCTCCATGTAAGCATGAGAACCTCAAAGGGAGCTGCAGATAAGAGGGTTATAAGTGACTACTACTTTTTTTCATTAAAAATAAAGAGTGATGGTTTTGAAAGCTTTTAAACAATTCCACGTTCATTCAGAGAGCCTGGTGATGTGCTTCAGGCTCCATTATCAGGCTTTCACTGTCTTGCTTCTCTTTTTTTTTTAAATGAGACACTTGTAGTATTATTACTGGAAGTTATTAATACTGCCCAAGGAATTAACCAAAATTGACTGCTTAATTACCCAAAGCAATCTGAAATTTAACTACAAGAGCTGTACTTGCAAACGTGCACACAGCTAAAACTCCCATTTTTATATTCTTTACCACAGACTGCAGAGCGTTTTGTCCCTTCCCTCTAGTGGCTGTACCCAGAACCTGGCATGCAAAACTGTACCTCAGTATAAAGCAGTAACTCTTACCTAGTTCTCCCCCCGAAATGGAGAAGTCCCTTGGCAGGACTATCCATTTTTGAATACAGTGGACCCTGTTGGTGGCGTTCCTGTTGACTCTGTTGATTCCCTCCTGGATGGCCCCGTAGATCGCCCGGTCTCTGGTGGCTACAATCTCAGACACCTTGGTGGCTTTACTGCCACTCTTCTGGCAGAAGTCTCTGGCTTGCTCAGTGAGAATGTCAGTGGGATCAGATGTGTCTGGGTCCAGCTCACTCTAAAATATCAAATGAAGTGAATCACCAAATGCTCCCTCTTAAAGGCATTAAAGGTTCCCTGATGGAGTCCTCCTTGACTGAGAAGGCTCAGCACAAACACACAAACACTCTGTAAGCATTAAAAAGCAGGAGCACCTACAGATGGTGGTGCTTTTCTTTCCTCTTGGCTACCAAATGCAAATATTTTTGGCTTAAACGTACATGAACAGACTTGAAATGTGTGAATGAATCAGGCAATAGAGTCCATCTATAGACCTGGAATTTCTACCATATTTTCCAAATGACTCCATCGATACAGGGAAACATTTAGCTCGTCACTAAATGGAATTACTATGGTGTAAACAGCTTGAGATAGAAGCATTCTTTTAAGTTAGACTTCTTAAATTAGCATTTCTATTGTGCCTGGAGATAGGGAGTATCAGTCACAGAGGTAAACAACTTGAAAAAACCTCAGTGTAAGTCACTCATGTATGTACACAGAACACCAAGTGCAAATGTTTTAGGAAAACAGTGATTTCTCAATTGAAGAGAATTGTATACCACAGCAAGGCCATTAATTATTTTGTTCTACAGTCACCCTTCTTGTGTCATAAAAATAACAAGTTGTAGAGAAATGCTTCTGCTGGGAAGTTTCTGGGTTTGCCTGTATCAGAAACATTTGTTGGCTTTGCTTGTCTGTCAGAATAAAACCTATTATTGTACAGAGACTTCTCAATCTTGCAGCATTTCTTAACTGAAAAGTTTGCATTTAAATAGAAAATAGCTCTTATTATATACATAGGAGAAAGAGCAGTGAATATGTAGATGTTTAGCAGGTCATGTAAGCAGAAGTTCAGACCCAGCAGGATTTAGTTTGTAGTTGCTGTACATTTTCCCCCCTGCCATCATCTCCTATGTAATTTTAGGTCTTTTTACAAATGGTTCAAAATTATTCTTCTTTTAGGTGCAGGTGTGTAATGTCACCAAAAGCAATATTAAAGCTGGTTTACCTTTAGGGTCAGGAACATTGACAAAAACTTCTTTTTATCCCCAATCACCATAGCATTACTAACAATTGGGAGCTCTTTTTTAACAGCATCTTCAATTGGAATTGGAGGCACGTTTTCACCTCCAGCTGTAATAATCAAATCTAGGCAAAAAAAGAAAGGCTATTAGTTGAACTCAAATAAATTCCAGGCTAATGTCTGGACTGACCTGCTCTCCTTATTCTGACATAAAGAATAAGAGAGATTTTTTTTTCCCCAAGATGTTCTCCAAAGACAACAAATCCTACTAATTATCTTCAAAACAAAAATGCTACTATTTTTCAAACGTGCTCAAATTCTCAGATCTCCCTCAGTGTAACATATTTGGTCCAGATAATGTTTCACATAATCCAGTAACAGGTTATTCCCAAGGCACTGTTACATAACCTGGAATTTTTCTGTGAGACATCATCTCTTGCAGATTAGCAGAGGATTCACCTTCTGTTTTATCGTTGCTATCTCACCAAAAAGCAAATTCATTGTTAACGTCGTGATTAAAACCAATTCTTAAATCCACCAAGAGGGGTCAGACAAAAATAAGTTACTACTGCAGGAAGGCTCCACAAAAGCAAAAGGAGAGAGGAGTGTGGGGGAGAAGCCAGGAGAGGAAATTTGCAGAGGAAGGAGCAATTCCTGCCCTACTTTTGACATGAGAAGAATGCAATGACAGACTGGAATCTTAATATTCTTAAGGTTTGTAAACGATGGTAGTGATACCTTATTCTGTTGATGAAGGAATGTGTATTTTTATTTGAATACCTTTGTTCTGAAGTATGATATGTATATTCAGTGAAATTATTACAAATTTGACTATTCTACAAGTAAATCCCATCTCTTTGCTTTCATTGCATTGGTGACTTCTCCTTGTCCTCAAATAACAGTCTTTGCAGCATTTCAAAACATGCTTCAACAAATAGTGCAGACAAACTTTTCCAGGTCTAAATTTTCCTCTCATTCCACCTTCCTTTTGCTGTAGCCCTGTCTTTGTCTTAGACCCTCTACCAATCTCTGGCCCTTAGTTTTTCACTGTCTGAGTTGTCAGCTTTTTCCCAGCTGATCCAGACAACTATAATAACTGCAACAATTTTTTTCACACCTCTAAAATACCCCCTGTATGGATTTCTGAGCTGCATCTTTGAGCTCATGAGCCCTAAAACTCATAAGACATGGATAAGCAAAGGAAGAAGTTCCCCTTGTAGTCACTATAAAAAAAAAAAAAAAGCTTTTCTATTAGATTTTACCTTATTTGGACTTGAATTTAAAACTTTAATGAAACTGGGCATATGGTTATTTTATCCCAGATGGTTTACTCATCCTGTAATTTAGAGTAATTGCTTTTAGTCCAGCAATCAAGGCAGATGTAAGAGAAACACAAATGTTCAGATGGATTGGTTGTCAACTGCTACACTAAAGGAAAATGAATCAGACAAGAAAGCAAGTTAAAACCAAGATATCTGCATTTGGTGCAGGCTATTAATAGTACCAACCTAAGTCCTGATTCCTAGCAGGACATGATGCCACCTGTGACAGATTCACTCATCCATGTTATCTCCCTTGTGATTCATTCTATTTTCTGAGATGATACTCAATTCTTAAATCTTCTTCAGTCTCATCTTGCCTGTGATCAATCCCACTCCTTGAATGTGTTTTGGAAAAAAAGCTCCCAAGTAATCAAGTGACCAGTGTGACTCTCATTGACACTTCTGTCAATGTACTGTAGTAACACCTCAGTTCATTGCTTTAGCTTTAACTTTCCCTTCTGCTCTCAAGCTTCAACTATCTGCAAGTACATCACCTGAGGTATTAGAGGAACCTACTCTGACCTACAGCAACAGCTTCCAGAGAACACAGGTGTCCTCTCCTTACTGTCTAAATCTTCTAATGTGCAATTAGGACAATTTAGCAAGATTCAAAGGGAGCCTGGACAGCTTCATGAATCATTCAAATCAAAGAAGACACATTAGACCCATGTTAGTAGTTTATATTGCTAATTGTAATTAATTCTGAGTAAAGGTCTGGGAGATAAAAAGCCTCATTGTAGGAAACCTCCCCTGAACACACAGAACATCCATGGGAAAGTTTATTTTACCTTCCTATGAGGGCAATGCTGCTGGCAGGAGAGGAAAACACTTCTTTAGTGACCACATCTGCCATTAGACTGAACAGTGCTGAGCAGTTACCACAACAGCGAGCAAGACTTTGCCCATTACCTTTAATTCTTCCAGTGACATAGAGAAAGCCATCCTTGTCTAGCTTTCCTAAATCTCCAGAATGCAGCCAACCCTCCTCATCGAAGGCTTCTTTTGTTCTGTCTTCCATATTTAAATAACCCATGAAAACAGTCCTTCCCCAGAAGCAGATTTCTCCGTTGCCTTCTGTGTCCTTGTCCACCAGTTTCACTCTGCATCCAGGGACTGGTTTACCACAGCTATCAGAGAAGAGGAGAAACATCCCCCAGGGAGCACAGAAATATCAAACACAACACTGATAAGGTGGCTTACATCCCAAAGCCCTGAAACTACCAAAACACTGCAAACAACACCGTGCTGAAACTGTTTGACAGTTATGGAATATTAATTCACTAGGGCAGAGATGTTGGAGTATCTAAGCACTTTTTGACAATCTGCCTTGCCTGTGCTTGCTGTTTTTTTCCCCCTCTGTATCTTCAGGCATAAAACCACTTTTGTATTTGAGGTCTTGCATTTGAAAGTTATCCTGCCCTAGGCCAGGATATAAGTCAGATTTAGGAACTGTTCTGCATGTAATGCTGTAGCTCACTGTCAGTGCTCCTGGTGTGGCAATGTGCTCAGCTTCTGACCTGCAAGTTATTCTGACTCCCAAAGGCACAACAGAGTGACAGTGCACTCAGAAAAAATAAAATAAGCCACAAGACCTTTGCTGGCCTTAGTAAATAGTCTTTTCATAGATATAATGAAACAGGCCATATTAAAAAGATAACAATTAAAAAGGTAAAATTACCTGTGCTGCCTGTAAATGTAAGGCCCAGACAGGCAATGTGGGCCTGTGGTCTCACTCATCCCATAGGCCTCATACAGGGTGATGTTCAGACCCAGGAAAAAATACAGTGTTTCTGTGGTGAGAGGAGCAGCCCCACAGAAGTGCTTCTGACAGCAGGAAAACCCCAGAGCACTGCGGATTTTTGCAAGCACGAGGTAGTCTGCCAACCTTGTCCAGAGCTGCTTTAGGTCACTGCTGAGTACAAAACACACAAGTCAGAGCAATCTAGGAAGTTTTCAGAACAAAATCAGGCACAAATTTTGTTTAGAGGTATATCTATCATTTGGGTTTGGGTGCTGACAGAAGTTACATCAGTAAGAATAGGTGACATATTCATCCTTTTTCATTTATCCAGCGTCTTTCATTGCTCCAACTTTCACATCCCCAAGTCCTGAGGTATCTGAATACAGCAAATACATAAAGAATCTGTAAAAACATATTGTACACAACACAGCTCTTGTGTTCATGATTCTTCATCACTTCAGTGTGTCTTTGAGAACCTACACCACTAGAATCTGAAATTTGCAGGACCTCTCTGAGAAGTTGAATGATCAGACAAGCAAAGCACTCTCATGGAATGATCTTGTGGAACACCATTTTCCGTAAGCAATTTCACACTTCACTGCACTGTCATGCTTTAAAGAACTTTGGAACAGGAAAGAATTCTGAACTAAGTTAGTATTTGAATTTATACAACATTATTTATCTGTGCAATCTTATGGACAAAAACACCAATGGTCTTCAGAACAGAGATAATGTACTTGGAGCTCAGAGAACTCATGGGGGTTGTCCCTGGGTTTTTGCAGGGAGATGAGATATTCTTAGCTCTCATATCCCAAACTGTCATGAGCCAGCCTGTCTGGGCTGTCCCCCAAAATTTGCCCCCTCTCATACACACCCTCCAGTTTCATGCCCTTTCCTCTCACCAGTGAGTAGCACTTGCACAGCCAGGGGGAGCAGGGACTGCAGCAGGGAACTGTCCCAGCTGAAAACCAACCTGTTCAGTCCCAGCAGAGCCAGGGACTGTGTTAGTGAGTGTGTGTGCTCAGGCAGGAGGGAGAGACACTTCTGACACTCACCTGTGTTTAAGATCAGCTACAGTAATTGATAAACACCCCCTCCCTCTTGCATTATATTTGCTTTGTTGCCAGGCCAGATTTTACCCATTTATATTTAGAGTCTCACTGAGGCTTGATAGTTCATTACAAGCAGATTGCTACTTTCAAATTGCTGGAAGTCTCACTGTCTGTAATACATACCTGCTTGAGCCATTCAGGTTCCTCTCTAAGCTAAGGGACATAGCCCATGACAGCATTTTCTTCTTCACAAATCCTGACTGAGCAGAAGCATCCTTTAATTTCTCCATGATTTTCTCCCATACTCGGGGGACTCCCATGTGAGCTGTTGGCTGCACTTCTTTTAGTGTGTTGATCAAGCTGCCCTGTTATAATCATTAAATAGCTTCAAAACTTTGCAAAAGGCACACAGCAGACCTAAAGAGGTTTGGTGATGCAAAACCAGCATCTTTAGGGGCTGTAGAACACGACTCAATGCGTAGGATATAAAGAAGGACTGCTGAACCTTCTTCAGTCAGACATATGCACTGACATGTGTCAGGTCTGACACACTGGGGAGGTTCCTACACCAGAAGGAAAACACACAGGTGGGTTAGTTCCTCCTGCCTCCCTTTCCTCCAAAAATTGCTCAGATTTCTTTTGCTTTAGATGCCTACTCTTTTGCCTTAAAAGAACCTTATGGACCTGGATTATATATTTCATTTGGAATCTAGAGCACTGGATCACAAATCTAATGGACCTCATAATTCTTACAATAACAGACACTCAATCTTCATCCTTTACCACTTCTCAGAGATCATATTCTCTCCCTAGGATGCTTTCTAACAGAAAGAAGTGCAATCTTAATTAGATACAATGGAAGACAGGATACCTTCAGAGCATCTGGCTCAGCAAAGTAGACCTGCTCTCCCCATTTGATACCAGTCCACAGGTCATACATCTGTGCAGCGACGTGGCTGAGAGGGAGATAACTGACTATAGACTCCTGCTGGACCTCTGCAGGTTGCATACCTGCTGCTCTGCTGCAGTGTGCTGATGTCCAGGTTATCTGTTTGAATAAATAATAAGACACATTAGGTATGGCGAGGGGGTTGGATTGGAGGTTTTATTTCTTTTTTCCTTTTAACATGAACTAAGGAACCTCACGCCACACAAATGTAACTGTGAAGAACCTGTGCTCACAGCAACTGCTGAGGACATTGCAATAGTGACTGTCAGCTCTCTGGGGACACTCAGGCCAAAGCCAGGTGACCTTCACAGCAGTAGAGAAGTGCAGATAACAAAAGCACAGAGAGCTTCTGCTGCCTGCCTGGGCTATGAGCACTACCAACCCTCCATGCCCCAGTGACACACTGAGCAGGCAGCATGGGCTGGATGGACAAGGATAAAGGGATCTGCCCCTTCCTTTGCAACTCTCCTGCTGTGCAGACTTTCTTTTAAACTGGCACTTTGCACCAGTGCTGCATCTACATGTTTACCTGAAAAAGAACAATAAATACTCAGTGATGAGTGAGCTCAAAGGACAATTCAGTATCAGCAACAAGCTCTTTGTCCTGTATTGATCCTCCTGGCCAAGCACTAAGGAGAGTGACAGCAGCTGTGCTCTGCTCCTCTGGAAGCTCTGGGATATTCAGCACAGGGGTTCACAAGTGACACACACATACACTCCCCCCTTCTTATGAAAGGCAGCACATACATTAATATTTTTGAGGATGTGCTCCTTGACCTCTTAGTGAAGCTGGATGATACTTCCCCCCACTTCTTCCCAATTCCCACTTTATCCCAGAAGATGCAGTTCAAGGATGCTAAATATGCATATTTCATTATCAGAACACAGCATATGGAAGACCCACAAATACATGTGATGCTATGAGAGACGAGGGAAAAGATGTATGTGCACAAAAAACCCAACCAAATAAAACCCAAACCAAACACCACCACTCAAAAAACCCCCAAACAAACCAGAAAACCCCAACCAACAAAAAGAAACAGCTCTTTCTCTGAGGAGTCTGTAATCTAAACTGGGTAGTGCAGGATAGAGGAATGAGATTATTCAAGGTGGCAGAGCAGAGACACAAATCACAGGTGATACCTGTTATCAGAGTACACCCCTGCCACCTCCTCTGTAATAAATTAGAAGGTACAAGTGTACACTTGGCCTAAGGAAATAGGGATTCTCAGGAGAGGGGTTTAAGACCAGGCCAAGCCACTCCAAGTTTAGAGGCAGCACTGGACAAGTGGCTGTGGGAGACTCACACAGCAGGAAGAATGGGATGTCTTTAAGATGTGTCCATTCATTGCTTGCCCTCCAAACCTCACAGCAGGTCAGTGGGTGCATGGAGCACTGACTCAGCACTGGTTTTGCACAGGGACAGTGGCAAACAGCTTTGACTAAAGAAGGCAGCAGCACAGCTACAGGCACAGCATGCCTTCCAGTGTTTGTCAACATAAAAATAGCCTGTTTGTGATCAGCAGCCAAGAATAGTTTGGCAGCTGGCATGGCAATGACACCAGGCTCCTTTGAGATAGAAGAGCAGAGATTTGCAACATCACATCAGTCTTTTTTGCCTATCAAGTCCACAACGTTCTGCTTCCAGATACCACTGTACTAATTCCCTACATTTGGGTGAATTGCTGCTCACAGTGTGCATGTCTGCAAGAATTTCTGCTTCATTTTAAGGGGAGAGGCCACAACTTAGACCAGCCCTGTCACAGATTCTCTGTGTATTCAGAAAGGCTCTCCACCACCTTCCACTCCCACTCAGCCACCTTATGAAAAATTAAATATATAAATTCCTGAAACAACTACACTTCAAATCTCTGCTAGCTGACCTCTGTGAAAACTCCATTTTGCAAACAACTTGTTTTTCTCCGTAACTGGAAATTTTCTGTTTGCAAGAATGCAGGTAGGGCTGTTGTAGTACCAGCATTGTGCACCAGAGCTGTGTTATCCCCCAGTGACAGGTGTAGAAAACTGCATACAAGTCTGAGAACACAAAAAATGCTGAAGTACAAACAACACACATCCACCTCCAATTTTAATAAAATCTGCAAAAGCAGTCCATCAGGCTGTTTTGATAGCAGCTGGCTGATGTCTATGATTTGTTTTACATCCCCTGAGAGACTTCCTGTCAACCTGTGCATTTTATTTATGAATATATGCATTAGATCTCACAAGAAATCCAGCGAATAAAAATTTTATATTCATAAAGAACCGTTCAACCTTGTGAAGTGCTGGTTTGAATGGAGTTTCACTCTCTACCTTGTTTATACTTTACCAGAAACAGCTGACTGCACTTCAAACATTGCTCTGCAGTACCGTACCCATGTTGCAAAACCAAAAGGATTTCAGGGCTCTGCTCTGTACAGTCATTTCAAACCACAGGAATAAATATCTTCATGCTTTGCTATTTCTCTGCTAAAGAAAGAGCCTGAAGTACATACATTGTCATGGCTCAGCATGGCTCCTTTGGGCTTCCCAGTTGTCCCAGAGGTGTATATCAGTACACAGCATTGATTAGGCTTTTGAGAGTTAATAATATCATCCAGAGTAGCATCAGATATGTCATGTCCCAGCTTCAGGAACTCCTCCATCTAGAACATGTAACAGAAAATACAGGATATCAAGTGGCTTGTTATGGATTGATACAGTGCTGCATCTTTCCTCTCCCAAAAATGGCAGAACAGTTCAGTGCCTCGTTTGAACCTGTATCCAAGGCAAGTTTCCCCTGATCTTGCCTATGTAACAAATATGGTAAGTCTAGCTTAGACCTTAATGTGTGAATTGCAAACAGACTGTGCTGTCATGAGCCTTTTCAATGCCTAAGAAGGGAACAGTAATATTATTCCTCCTCCAATGTGGATATAGGGATCAGTCATGGAGGCTAAAATTCTGCTACTGTCTCACACTGTAAGAATGATTTTGAGTCTTATTTAAAGGAAGCTGGATGCAACATTTTTAGGTAAGTGCACACTTGTGCCCTCTCATATATAATTCATTGTACTCTCTATAAATATATCTATAAAGCAACTGGATGAAAGCTTCTTTGCAAAAGCATCATTATTTGGATGTGTGAATGTTAGCCCAAATTATCTGCTATTTTATAGGAAACAGAGCATATGATGCTGGTCACAGCTTCCATTCAGATTTGGCTCTTTCTAGAGTGAGATAAACCTTTTATGACACTGGGCTTTTGTGCCACACAAATCTGCCCAGAAGAATCCTGAGCCTGATCCTCTGTATTATATTGGTTGCTCCTTCCTTTGTACACCCCTGCTCTGCTGCTAAGTGCACCAGTGATTTCAATGTTAACTGAAATTTAGAAGAAAATCAATAACCAAACTGTCAGTTTGCCATTGCAATCACGTGGTTGCTGCTGTGCTACAGAACTGTGCTATTTAAATGCAAGGTGCAGCACCCCCATTTTCCCATGATTTCTTGGAGCTCTGTCTAGGACCACAAAGCAGAAATGGGGATGAGCTGAAGGACAGCAGGGGTAAGAACGGAGAGTCTGTGCTTGAGGGGAGTTTGTTGCTTCTTTCAGACCTCTGCCATTGCTACTAAGGTTACAACAGTCAGCCTCTGCTGCCCCTTGACTGTCTTCTCTTAGGTGGTAAGGCTGTCCTAAGGATCATTCAGCAGTTTTACACTTTCTTCCAACAAACCACATGCCTGAAAAGAGAGGCTGTAACTGCACAGCTCTGCAGCAAGCAGAGATTTGTCCCATTCCATCCCTCCCCATGGAATGTGGCAGCATCAATCTCCCAAGCTCCTGCAAAGCGTGGTGGTGTCAAGGATGTAGTTCCTCCCCATTTTCCTGACCTTAGTGTATTCTCCCCCAAAATGCATCGATCCCTGTGAATGTGTTGCCCAGGCTTGTTTACTGAGCAGGACCCGCCCCAGACGGTGTCAAACAGTCACACACACAGGTCTGACTTTGCCTTTGCCTTCTGGAAAGAGGCTCTGCCCTTGCTGCAGCAGCCCCTCATCACACGGGAGCTGTCACCCCGCCCCACAACCCCCTTTTATCAACCCCCCCGTGGGCTTGGGGGGGGGGGCGGTTTGCTCTGCATCAACCCTAACGAACAGTCATTTCTGCCTCTGGTCATCTGGTCTCTAATTTTCCCTTTAGATGACATAAACTATGGCAGCTGTCACACACTCCCCTCCTCTGCTGAGAACACACCCACCACGGCACTGGAACAGGGCTGCTTGAAAACACAGCAGTTCTCAGGCATTTGGGGTTTCAGCAAGCTGTTCAAGAAGTAAATGCTAGCACTTAATCTTTTTACTAAGAAATATAAATAGTAAGATCATCTTTGTAGTATTCTTTTTACTGTACCAAGATGCAAGGCATGCTCCATACCAGCACGTACAGTATTGGAACAGTAATTGTATATTATTAACTTATATGCAAGATATGGGGGAAAAAAGGACAGAAGACTTTTTTTCTTATCAGATTATCAAAATTGCAAATATTTTAAAATAGTTCTGTACTGTTCACTCTTCATTAATATATTTTTTCCACAGTCGAAGTTTTTTAACCTAAAATATGTTCATCCATAGTCAACTTAAAATATGGATTTTTTTTTATTCTTATTGCTTAAGAATTACTGAGGTACAATCATATTTTCAAAATACATTGTAATAACACATTTCCAAAAACCTGCTTTGCTTCAAGCCCTCATACTTCCTAAAGGCTGAACTTCTACACTCAGAAATTTCTCATCCTGGTTTTGTCTTTTTTTTCTTTTATTTTTAACATGTAATAGGAATGTTCTACATGTACTAAGAAAATGTGCTGCTTTGTGCAGTCCATAGTCATTTCTCTTCACTTGTTGCCTATCACCAGAAATATTTGGTGTACACAAAATGCAACTATCACCTGTAAAAGAACAAGCATTCTCTGTTCTTGGATTCAGTGTAACTCACCACAATTCAGTTTTCACCAGGGGACAACTTTTATTTTTAACCATTTGAGAGTACACATTCCCACCTGAATAGGTGGGAATAACAGGTGTTTTAATAGACCAGTCAAGTTAAAGACCAAGAAGACACAAGACAGAGAGTTCAGCAAGGAATCACTAATTTTAAATGTAAAGTATCAAACATGAAGTCACAGGTAAATTAAACAGAAAAAGCTGACGAAGCTTTTGAACGTGTTTGCTGGAACGCAGCAATGCATTCTAAACGACACTCTGCTGACAAAGCATAGTAGAAATGTCTCAAATAAATAATCCCCCCTGAATTGTAAGTCTGTTCTAGCACTCACATACCGTATATAAATTTGGATGTGTCTCTGGAAGGGAGTCCTTATATAGCACAACAGCTTTCAAGTGTGGCAAGCGATCCCAGATCTGTTGGATTTTTTTAAAACAAATTTATTATTTATTATTCATATCTTGCGTGGGCTTTTTTTTTCCCCACTAAAATACTGCCAAAACTGTAATGGCTTGGCAGGCACAAACCCCCTCCTCTTTCCCTCCACCCCCAAATATTCTCCCCTGAACTCACCCGCAGTTAGCTCAGCTAGAGGCAGGGGAAAGAGGAGGGGACTACACAGTCTGCACAGTCTGCTCTAGAAAATCTGGTTTCAGTCAAAAAGAATAAAAACCCCGAAAATTACACCCAAAATGGCTCCTCAGCATCCTTTCTCACAGTGCACAACAGGGCACATCAAGAAGCTGTGTAGATCAAGCTGGAAGCTGACCCCAACTGCTGTGGTTTGCAACAAAGTCCCTCAGCAAAAACTGGTGTTCAGGTGCTAAAAACAGTTCTACTTCCTCAAGGAAAAAAGGAAATGGAGCCATATGGACACTGTAAGGATACATAAGGACATAAAGCCACAGGCCCACAGGCAGACAGGCTGCTGCTGTCAGGAGCTCTTTGTGTGCTTTGCATGGCCTGCAGAAAACATTCATTTCACTCCACTCCCTGGGCCCCCCTGCCTCACTGACCACATTTGGAACTGCACCTGTGCCAATACAAAAGCAGTGGCTTGGTGGCAGCCATCGTGTACACATTATTAGAAGGACAGCAATTGAAATGGTGTGTTATCATTTCAGTCTTGGGTTCTCCCAGGAAAAAAATGTTTTGAAAAACTCTCTGGTTTTTTCTAAATTTTAAAAATTTTAGAATTTTTCTAAAAACCTGTCTTCCTACAAATCACATATAAAACAAAGCCACAAAATACAAAGTAATTAATACAAATACAAAGTAATTAATGCATAACTCATATCAAATACATCTGAAAAAAACCCACTCTGTGGCAGGTACATGTTTTTGGCAGAAAACTCCATCATGAAAGGCCCCCTTGCTTCAGCAAACTGCAATTTGGTGCAAGTTTGATGGGTCATCTCCAGCCAGGGGCCTCCCTCAACACCTGACAGACAGATAAGCCCTTCCCAGGTTGCTGCCTGTGCTCCTGGGCTCCTCCCCAAGTCCTGCAGCCAGGATCCTTCTGTTAAATTGGTCTTTGGCACCACTGCTGAAACCCAGTCACAGCTGCTCAAGGGTCCTGTCAAAACTGTGACTGGTCACCTAAAGAGGCTCCTGCTCCTTTCTCACCAAGGTCTGTCTCATTTAACCATCACACTATTTAACCACCATGCCACCAAAGTGCAGTAACTCGACAGCCTTAATGGCTACTATGACAAGATATGGCAAGCAGGATAAGATGATACCTTGGAAAGAGGGAATCCTGAACACTGGCACACTTCATATTTGAACTGCAGGCCTTTACAAACCTGCCCCAGTGTAATCTCTTCATTCCAGTGGGCTGTGCTTTGCCAAAGAGAAGCAGGTGGTGACAGTATAACCATGGGATCAAAAGTTGAGTTTTTTCAGGGAAATCTGCAGTGAACCATCCAGTGAGCTCTGCTGGAGCCACAGACACTGGAGAGGACAGGGCAGCAAGGCACCCACGAGCTCAAGCACCAGATACTGGATTTCTGAGTAAGAACACTCTCATAAAAGGTTCCATGATACAGAGAGTGTATATGGTGTTTGGGACCAACACAGCACCAAGAAATGAGAAAATTATGGCTTTTCAGCAACCCTTCAGCCACCTCGTACCTGCATTATCTTGTCCAGTTGTTTCTGATTTTCCACAACCATGATATTGGTTTTGCTGTCATGAGCAATGTAGTGACAGGCCTCTGGAGAATTGGTTGCGTATATTCCTGTGACAATTCCTCTGAATCAAAAAATTTATATATACATATATAAGAACATATATTTATATATATACACACACATATACATGCACTTAGTATCAAAAAAGAGTAATAATCAAGGATCAGATGAAAGCTGAAAGAGTACGAAGATGTGGAAGCAAACACAGCACAGCTCTCCTTTGTTTCATGTATCCAGATATAGATATTTATCTAAATCTCTGATTTATGCACATTGCAAAAACTAATCTCTGAACTCTATTCAGTAGAAGGTGCTGTAGGTTGGGATTCAGTGTTTTAACCCATTTGAGGCTACTCAAGAGTCAGCTCAGGAAGTTGTAAAAAATCCCCAGTCACATCCTCTTCCTGTTCAAGCTGTACACAGGTACCAATCTGGATTTCATTGGCACAGAACAGCTTAAGAAGTAAAACCCAAATTGTGTGAACAGGTATCAGGACAGAAGGAATCAGGCTGGCCAATATTCATATGTTACTTCATCTCCTTGAACATATCTTGCTGTAGACAAATATCATTAATATAAAACTGTGAGTCTCATCTGTTTCCCACATCTTCCAGAGATAGGACACTGTACAACAGCTTCTGTCACAGTTAAGCCCACAGCAAACAGGATCAATTTAGGAGTGTCTGGACTATTTCAGATAAGAGACTCCAGCAGGTCACTGAACATGCTAATCAGCAGCAACACAACTTCCAACATATGACAGCAAATACTTATTTGCTGCATTTCCACCTCTAGCAAAACAGAAATCCCCAAAGCCCCTTCAAAATCAACACCCCCCAAAAAAATCTTACCCAGCAAAAACAGCTCCAACAGCTGAGATGAACCATTCTGGAGAATTAAATCCAAGGATTGCTACGCTGTGGAACCGTTCAAGACCGAGCTTAAAAATAATAAGCATGAGGTTATATAATGTAGGCACTCTGGAGAGGAACATCCCCACAAGTATAAACTTTGGAAACTTCTGATTTACTATTGCAGTATTGACAAGGCATGTCCACACACAGCTCTGTGCTGGTATCCACAGCAAACCCAGTATTTATCAGCAGTAACATGATGTAACTTTTCCACTACCTTCTCCTGGCTGGTTGAGCTCTGCTGCCCAGAAAGGCCTGAAACCCAGAACACTTCAACATGAACGAGACATAATGAGTACCAATATTACCCTATGTTTAGAAGGCTTTAGAAACTGTGTTTATCTCACCAAATTCATGATAGTACTGCTTTCCCCTATTTTTCTGTTTTTAATCTCAAGGGCCTCATGCTGAGCTCTGTGCCCACATCCCAGCGAGCAAGTGTAACACAGCAGCTCCTCCCTTGCAGCCAGGCTCCCCTGACAGCAGTGTTATCTCTGACCAAAACCCATTTTCATCATTATTTCAATAAGGAATACGACTACTGATCTTCAAGTAATGGGAAAAGCCTCTTATAGTGTGGGGTTTGGGGTTTTTCTGATCATTTGTTTTTTGGGTTTTTTTAAAGGAGACAAAGGGAGAAAATGAAATGGCTTTGTTTCCTGTACCTACCTTCAAGAAGCTCTTGGCTGCTTTCCTGGAGAGGCAATAATACTCTGAAAAAGTTATTTTCTCCCACTTTCCATTCTTTTTGCTGGCCAAAGCATTAAGGGACCCATATTTTTCCAGGCTCTCCTTGAACATCTGATGAACTGTTATGGGAGTCTGTGGACATGAGTTATCTATTCTCAGTCTGACTCTGCCATCAGCAAGGGAAGTCCACAGGGACTCTGGAAGGTAAAGCACTATTGTCAAGGTATTCTATCATTGAAAAATACCATGTGACTGTGTACCAGAGGACAAGAGAACTGAATAAAGACCACAGGACCAAGCACAACTCTGGCATTTCTCACCTTCTGAGAGAAGGACTTCCCAATTTTCTTACTATCAAATACACCACATAGAAGGAGAAATCTTTCTCTGTTACACTTTGATCTGCATCTTGAACAGAAGTGCCACTGGACAGAATTACACTGACCTTCTGTTACAGACACCCCCCCAATTCCAGAGCAGCGTCTGCCGGTGCTCAGCCCTGCAGTTCCCCCTGTGTAGTGGAGTAGTCAGTGAATCAGAAGGCTACAGAGATCCAAAAGATCTGAAACCTCTAACCCTACTCAGCATCCAAGCCCCTTTTGCTTGTTATAACTCTTCCCTCTCTCCTTCCCCTCCACCTCTTCTCCCTCATCCTGTCTCTGTTCCCCACTACTTCCCACAGTTCTTTCCTGGGTCATCTGCCCCGTGTTCTAATTTGTACATCCACTCCACCCACTCCTGTCTTGCCCTGTTTCCATGTCATTTTTCACCTTTTCCTGCTCTTGTCTCCCTCACCCTGCCTTTCTACCATCCACTTTTTTGTCCCTGTATTTGTCCTCCCCTTCCTTGACAGGACACAGAGGAAGAGCACCAACAAATGTCACTTGGCTCTCACCACTGGTTCCAAGGACTTCACAAGAAATATCTCTCTCAAAGACTTTACTTGGCTCTTGCAAAGCCAGCAAAAGGTTGAGTATAAATACACTCCTTAGAGAATCTAGGGGTTAGCAAGTTGGCAAAATTCAGGTGAATTCTCACAAGGAAAGCACAAACCCTCCCACGACTCCCCTGTCAAACAGTTCCCATACTTCTCAACAAAACAGTACAACAACATTGTAAGAACAACATTTTTTTCTTTAGATTCATGTTCATAAATGAAGAAATAATTTTAGCATAAACATAAAGATATATATATTCTAGAGTGAGCTGATGAAAAAATTTCAAAGTGCTTAGGCTTGTCAGAATTGAGTGTAACAGAAAATAGGACTTTTTGAAGCTCCTGATAGAAGTTAATAAGCATGATTGTCTTTTACTACTCTTATGGAAAGCAAAAACTGTGAGAAAGCTCAGACAGTATCTGTGCTGTTTCCTGGAACCCCAATGGCTGAAAAAAGGCCATTCTGGAGCGTTCAAAAGTCCAACATCCCTGTCCAATGCTACTCCTCTTGTTGCTTCACGGGGAAACCACCTCTCTGAGCATTTCTGGCAATATGTGAACGCATCAGCCACAGCTGGATCCACATGAGCTCTTCAGGACACACTTGCAGCCTCCCTAAGCCAGGCCTTGCAATCTGCACAGCCAGCCAGAAGCACAGCCAGCTGCTGCAAGCTCACAAACATCATGTTCCATTCCTGCCCCTGGCTGGCAGATTTGCATTTGTTCTCCTGACAAACGGAAGGTGTTAATGACAGCAATAAATACAAATAAAGCTGCTTCATCTCCCTGTGCCTTCGTTTGCTCATGTGCAAATTGCATATAATGATTTTCAAAACATAGGTGTGGAGCTTTGCTTAGCTCAGTGGAGAAAGGGCATCATACATCCAGACAGTTTGGAAAACAAGTAGCTGTGGAGGATTTTAGGTTACAGACAGACTTTATCCAAGTGTAAACAGTATCACCCAATAAATATTTTATGAGCTGAGGAGGCAAAGCAGGTGTTACTGCACTTAACCCCAATCCTGGTGTGGAGCTGTTGTTAATCCAAATGCTTGTTTTCTGCAGTGACACACCACAGCCCAGATGAAAAACTCTATATATCGATGTTCTGGCTTCTAAACCAACCAAGGGGGCAGGGATTGCAGGTGTGTGTGGGCACAGAGAGGTGACTGCCCTGTTGAAAACAAAATTGTACCATACAGAGCTAAAATACAACATTCTGGTTCATGTACTATAAAAAAATGCTCTGCAAGGGATGTGAAAATATTAGCAACATTCCTAAAGTAACATTACAAAACTTGCATGATTACTGTCTTTTCACTGCAGAGGTGCAGTAGATAACAGAACAAACAGAACACTTCCCAGAGAAGAGTGAAAATCATCCATCAAATCACTGAAATATCTATACATAGAAACAAAAAATGTCCTTGGAAACTAGGTTTCCTTCTGCTTTTCTTTATGCAGGTTTTTACTGTGTCAAAAAAGCATCTTTGATTCCCACCAAAGATTAAGAACAGAATCAGTTTCAGAGACTCTGTGCATCACCTTAATAATACACAAGATATAGTGCAAATGAATATAAACCTAAATGCCCATTCAGTGTTTGCTTTTGCAGGTAGAATTTATCTCAAAACAATCCTGAAATCTAGATATAAACCAAATAATTCTAAAAATCCAATTAGTCTGTCCCAGAGAGTCAGTAAAACCAGCAGAACATGAACAATATATTCCTCTGTCAGTTTGCAGAGGGTTTTTGAGCAGAGGGCTCATTCTTCTCAGAAAGAGCCTGGGAAGGAATGCCTGGCAAAATACTGAATGTGTCAATTATAAACTCTGGGAAGAGCAAAATAGGTGCTCTGCCTTGCTAACATCTGAAAGTTAAACTGCAATATCCAGGCTGGAAATGAACTCAGAACCTCCTGAAACCAAAGAGGAAATCAGAATAAAACCCCTCTAAATACACTATTAGCTTTGGTACATTATCCAGCTGTAGGTTTACAGAGGAGAAAACAAACCACATTCCAGCTTGAAGTACTTGATGCCACTGAAAGTTCCCTATATGCAACCAAAGAGTAATATTTGTCCCTCTCCTCTTTCTCCCACTAACTCCTGCTACCTGCATTATACTTTGTACCCAAAATGCTTCTTCATTCACTGATATGTGACCTTGGCTCATGTCCTTCACATCAATCCACTGAAGGTCAGAGATGATGAGAAAAGATCTCTGCTTAAAGAAGGTGATGTTGTAATTTAAAATAAAAAGAGCAGAGATTTTATTCAATAAGTCCTTGTGACTGTCACTCTTTGAGCCTCTTGAGTATCATTCTCCTCCAAGGCCAAATTCCATGATCAGATACCTTTTCCATGTTTCAGTGTCTTCACTGCTGAAGGAAGAGATGGCCTGGAGTAGTCTCACAGCTATATAGTTACACCTATAACAGGAGGGCTGCACTGTAGTTTGTCTTGGGAATCACTCTAGGGACAGCTGATCTAAATACCTGGGATTTTAGGTGTGCAGTTTTCCCACTAATGTGTAAATTTTCAACAAGAAACTTTACAGGAGGAAAAAAAGCAGTTAAGAACCACTTAAAAGACACACTGAAAGTTTTCAACTCATTTTTCACGATACAATCCTAAACTTATGAACCATTTACATGTGAATACTGATTTATAAAAGTGCATTTGTTACTCAGATATTTTCTTTCAAGTCTGAAATGATGCACAACATAAACACATTACAGTTGTTGTATCTTTATCAACCAGTTTATTCCTTCCATCATGTATGATACAAGAGTTCTGACACAGTACAGGCTGTCTTTCCCAGCCCAGATACCAAAAATGACTTTAAACAAACAAATAGCAAGTCCATATTTATTTATTTTTTCATGAATAATCAGTCTGGCTGAAACTGCTGGGCCTGTGGGATGTATAAAGGAAACTGTGTACTAGTTAAAAAAAAAAAGAAAATTAAAAGAGAAATACACTAACCCTACAGTTTAAAGCTAATATAATCAATGAAACTTTCTCTCTGTTCACTAATATCCTGGTGACTGGCAGAAAGGATCTGAGAATGTAAATAAATTCTGATGTTTCTGGAAGAACAGCTCTGAGAGCCACACAAAATGCAGGAGAACCAAGGTCACCTCTCAGGCAGGTAAACAAACAGGCTGATGGAGGAGCAGCCCTGCTGCATGACCCGAGGAGCTCCAAGTGATATTCCATGGATGTGCCCCGAGAAGCAGGAACTAAACCAATAATTTAACTTCTGCCTGAAAGTAAATCAGATTTAACTCCCAAAACAGTGTCTTGATTATATGCCAGTTGCTGCAAAACATCCCTCTGCCCTAATGAGGAGAGCAGGAATTCAGCTCTTTGCTGGAGGCATTCCTGACAGTCATCATCCCAGATTCCACAGCCATGATGCCATCACATTCTGCTGACAACACAAATGCATCATTCCTCCTCTCACCCACTATTTTTTTGCTTTTCTTCAAGATATCTGTGACCCTAAGAGATTAATTTCTTAAGCTGAGTAAATTAATTTCTTTAAAAGCTGAGTACACACAGGTTGGAGTTCAAGAGCTTGGTATCTGTGTCAAACTTCCCCTTGTGCCAACAAACAGACTAAACAGAAGTACAGAACTCTGGAATTGAAAGTGAACCTGAAAGTATCAGCCAGACTATATACACAGTGATTCTTCTAATAAAATACAGAAACCAGCTTCCTGTTGCTTGCCTTGCCACAGCTGGGGGAGGAAAAGGGTTTTCTGCTACATTACCAGTTTTCCACAACAAACATGTAATCTTACACTGTCAAACAGGAAAGACTGAATAAATAGAGGAAATCTTTTTCAATGAGCCAAAACACATGAAAATATTTTGGTTCATGGATACCTGTGCCTTTTCCACTGGAGGAAAAGGGAACATTTATTAATTGCAATAAAACATACTGCTCTTCACAGCAGTGAACTCCTGCAAGTGTGGATCAGAGAAATTAGATATCCTGCAAAGAATCCTCTCTGAGCTGACGTGGAGGGAGTGGTGCATCAGGGCAAGGACAAAATAAGCCTCCTAACAACCCTGACGCTTCTAAAACTGATTACGATGCACCAAAATGTGTGGAGGGTGTAATCAGGAGGAAACATCACCACAGAAACATTGCCCAGGCATGCAGGCATGGAAAGTCAAAACTCAGAATTGGGATTGGTGAGTGATGGGAAGAGCCACAAGAAGGGCTTCTACAGGTACACAAGGAGAACCAGGGACATCATGGGTGACTTGCTGACACAGGACACGCAAAGGGCTGATGCTCCCAGTGCCTTTTCACCCCAGTGTTTACTGGCAGGATCAGGCTCCCTGGGTTTCCATGCCTAGGGACAGGTGAGGTGTTTTACCTACAGCAGAAAAAAATCAAATAGGGTCCACTTGCACAAACTGGACACATACAGAACTGTCGATGGGACTGCATGAGATGCTTCAGAGTGGACACTGAGAAACCAGGTCAAAGCCATTGCTCCCTGCCATTGAAAAGGCACAGCAATTTGGAAAGGTCCCCATGACAGTGAAAAAGGCAAATGTCACATCTGTCTTCAAAAAGCAGGAGAAAGAGGACCCAGATAACTAAAGGCCAACTTCACCTCGGTCCTACAGAAACCTCACCTCGGTCTACAGAAAGGCTGTAGAACAAACTCTCCTAGAAATCATTTTGGGCTATAAAATGGTCACTGAGACCAGCCAGAATGGACAGACCTGATTTGGCCTTGGGAAATCTAACCCAACCACCTTCCACGATGAGTTGACTGGCTCTGCCACGGTGAGAGCAGTGGAATGTTGTTCACTTTTTACCTTTAACGAGGTCTTTAACAAGTCCTACATAGCTCAGCATGGAAGGTGCAGCTGGAGGAACAGGTGGATAAAAAACTGGCAGGATAACTAGTCTTCAAGAACCATGGTCAACAATTCCAAGTGCAGCCAGAAGTCATTACAAGTGACATTCTTCAGGGGTAACTCCTGAGAACAACACTGTTCAGTGATGGTGCTGCTGTCCTGGACAACAGAGAAAACACTCACAGCTTCAGAGCTGACCCCAAACTTGAGGAACTGACCAACGTGACAATCCATCCAGAGGGACCTCAGCACACCAAAGAATGGGCTGACACAACCTCAGAGCTCCAAAAGGGTGAATATAAGTCTTGCACTCTGGGCAGGACAACCCAATGCCCCAGCAGGGACCGGATGGCAGCTCAGCAGGACAAACCCTGTGGCTCCTGGGGGACAGGCTGGATGTCCCGATGGAGATGAGGGCTGACTGCATCCCAGCTGCACTGGCAGGATTAGAGCCAGCAGATCAAGGAAGGTGATGGTTTCCCCTGCTCAGCACTCCTGAGGGTGCACCTGAAGCAGGGAGCAGCTCTGGAAGCCCCAGTGCAAGAGAGAGATCCTGACAAACTGACATAAGCCCAGGACAGGGATTCCCAGGGGTCAGGGGCCTGGAACACAGCACGTAGGAGAAGCCCCTGCAGGGACTGGGTTCCTCCAATCTGGAGAAGAGAAAGAATGAATCTCCCTGCTGCCTGCCACAGACCAAAGAGGGTGCTGCAAGGAAAACAGATTCTTCTCAGAGGCACCCAGCAGAAGAACAAGAGGCAATGGACATGAGCTGCAGCAAGGAAAACTCTTGCTGGATCAAGAAAAGTTATTTCCCAATGTAGGTGACTGAGCTTAAGAAGAGGGATTGAGTGGCTGTGGAATTTCCATCCCTGGAGGTTTTCAAAACTCAGCTGAACAAAGCCACAAGCCCTCCTATGAGCAGAGAGGTGGGCTAGTTGCCCTCCAGTGGTCTTTTGCAACATAAATTACTGTGTGATTCCATCAGTATAAAGCCAGCACGAATGAGTTCTCTTCTAAGTCAATATAATGGTTTTAGGTCAATATAATGCTTGCTGCCAACAGTAAGGGTACTCTGGATTTACAGATGCATTAGAAAACTCCAAATCTGGCCTGCTTCCACAGCAATGAGCTTCTATACATTGGTGGAAAGGAATGAGGAAAAAATTCCAGAACAATCTGCAGTCCTCACTGAACAAATTTAGTCCTGGGGTTACAGAACATATCAATTATAAAGCGAGAAAGACAGTTCTGCACAACTAGAAAACATCAGAATCTCCTCCTTTTCTCTTTATATACAACGTAGACCCACTGAAATTAGACACTGGCCTTCCTTCTCATGAAAGATTATTTGGGAGAAGTGTTTGAAATTCAGTCCTCACTTTCCCACTCAGCATCTGCAGAGCAGTGTGGTGTGTCCAAGTCAAACACTGCTTCTCATTTAAATGGATAACAAGCAGTGCCACAGATTCTCAAAGTCAAATAAAAGACAAAGTCTAACAAATTGTAAGCTCCTGATTCATCAACTTAGAAGATCAAAACAGCAATAAAGGAACTGCTTAATTAAAATGGATGAGGTGTCACTTGTGTTTGCAAGGAAATGATGATGGAACAGCTGGAATGGCTTCTCCCCTCATTGTTCTCCTCACCTCTGTGGCAGAGCTGTGGTCACCTCTGCAGGAGTGGCTGCATGGCATGTGCATTCCTTCCTGAGCATATTTCTCTAAACTGCAGCCAGCAGCAACCTCTGGGAGGAAGGCAGGGTAGGTACTGTCAGCAGTAACCAGAGTCCCAGATAAATTCTTAGAAAAATAGGTCAGAGCCTTCCTGAGCACACAAGTACTCTGCAGAATCACAGCCTCGGTAATAATCTAAATATAGAATGTGTGCCTCAAATAGTTCCATAAATACCCTGAAAATTGGAAACCAGAAATTAGTTATCACCTTTATCCATCCAAATTTATTTCCTGCTTCCTGAAAGAACAAAAAGCATAGAGCTGGCAGGTCAATTTTGGGAATGAACCTACTGTGTCTCAAAGAACTGCCTTTTAAAAAACAAAGATATATCCATACAGGTATGTATTTATACATGTGTATAAAATCTGCATGGGAGATTCCTACATAGATCTGATATCTATGCAGTCATTGCTCCAACTGTCTCTAAGAACAAATATTTTGGTTAAATGAGCACATTTAGATACCAGTAGCAGCCTCACCAAGGCAACAGGGAGCTCTCTCAGGACAGCAAACCTTGCAAGGAACCTCACAAAGTTCTGCTAACAAAGCTCCTTTAATCCTCCCCAGGTGACAGCTGGGGAACAGGCTGTGATGCCAAAGGTAACACAATTTGTGTGATTTAAAATGGGATCAGACTGTTTTTCATTCTTATCTGGCCACCACCTCAAATACAGACAAAAACTGGGAGAAACTATTGAATCCATGCAAATTTACAGCTCCTGAGAGTTTTTCAGCTGCCCAGACTCACTTCAATTTTATTTTTGTTATTTTCTCTCCTTATCCCAGCCCTGAAAAATTATCAGTCATAACCTGCTAAAATAGAAATACAAATTACATTAAAAAGGAGTTCAAAAAAGAGCTCAAATGTCCAAGGACCACCTTTGACAGGCTCACCTGCTGGCTCTGTGCCTTCACCCTGGGCCTCCTCCAAACGGGGCAGTGAATCTCTGCAGACAGTCTGGGCATCTGGAAAGCTTCTAAAAGAAAATATAACTATTAAAAAGTTATCCAGGAGTGCTAGTGGGATCCAATGCAATCAGCACAATGGTTTGAAGTGGAAATAAAAACACAGCTTCCAAACACTTCAAAATACAAACTGGTAAAAACAGGAAGCTCAGAGGTACCAAGAACCTTTTGACTCTGTTGCAAGCTCCACTAAAACCCAGTTAAACAGGGACATGATTTCAATCTCAGGATGACATTCCTTATTTCATACTTTTGGGTTCAACATCATGGAATATACCAGATGAAGGCACTAATTTTGAACCTCCACAGAGAGGCCATGAACCCTGCAAGTATGAAGAACATCAACTTTAACCCTGATCATACTGCCCCTGTACTGATATCACAACACCTTGGAAGTTGTCACTGTTGGTATCTGTTGAAGCTCTGAGGTCAGGGGTTTTTTGGTTGGTTTTTTTTAAGGAAGAGAAGGCAATTCAGTTCCTAACAAGAACAACATTATTATTATAATAAAGCTTCTCAAAAACTTCCCCAACACAACAAATTACCATTAACACATGGATGACATTAACTTTTCCTGGCTTAAACACACCAAGTTTAAAGCACAATACAAACTCCAACCCAAAAAGTCTGCAAAGAATTACGTGAACAAAATATCCAAACAATAACTAAGCATTTAGAAATGACTGACTGCACACAGCAATGAACTGCAGATTATTCATGAATAGCAGCATAAAGACTTTTTAATGTAGCTCATTTCATTTCAAGAACAAGTTAGGATTTCCTTCATTCCTCTCAGCAGCAGAGTCCTGAGTGAAGCTCAGAAAGGCCTTCCCTTACACACTGTAATAAATTAACTCAAAATGTAGGAAAAGAAAGTTGAAATGATGCCCTTCCCAACTTTCAAATAAATAACAACTTCAAAAGCCATTTTCTACCCAGCAGTGTCAGGTACAAACAGCAGGACCAAACACCACACCAGACACCATCTCCTATCTCATATTAACAACTACACTTGTAAAATAGTTCTGTGTGGAACACTCCTAGAATTTATTATTGTTATTCACAATGAAATCATGCTTTAAAAATGCCTTAGCCACGCTGGGTCCCTTTCACAATAGTTTAGCAGACTTTGTAATTCTTGACCCATCAGAAGTGACAATCCCAGCTCATTTCCTCCCTTCCTCCTCCCCCCCAGAGGAGTCATCACTAATCTTGCCTGTGAGGATATTTCCTCTCTTGTCAACAGGCATAATGGGACAAAACATGAAAGGGCTTGTCTGATAAGCAAAAAGGGGTCTGAAAATAGGCACTGGGTTTGGTGAGGGTGAATGCTGATGAGAACCTGAGTAATTTAAATATAGAAGGGCATTATACTGCATTTTGAAAGGTAAGCCTGTGTCTGACACATGGTGACTTAATGAACTGGGACTGCAAAGAGAGAATGACAGACCAGGAAGAGATATTTGGGAATAAAACCAAAACAAAACACCTGAAATAACTTAAAAACATGTGTTTTATCTGCTGTCTCAAAACACTTGATAGTTCCAGAATTTTTTCCTATTTTACAGAAAAACTACATTTGATGTTTCAAAATCCAGTGGAATCTTTTCCTTTAAATATCTTCTGAATAATAAAGCTTTTAAAATTTTTATTATTTTACAAAACAAACAAAACAAAGTCTTAGTCTAAAGATATCTGAACAATCATTTTGAGGAAAAAAACTAGCAAAAAAGCCTTCTGAAGAAAACAGTTCTGCAGTAATGCACCAGAAGAGCCTCCTCTGAGGCTACTCAAAACTTTAATAAACATCATTAGTGACTTTTCCTAGATTAATATCTCTTTAGTTTGCTTTAGTCTCAGCTGTTATAGGCTTCTGGTTCAGTTTATATTATGTTCCCTTTATAGAAAATCAGCCAACCACCAAGTCTGAATTTCTGGATTCTTTCTGGTAATGCTTCACCAAGTAAAAGTTGTATGAGGAGCTCTACCCATGCAGCATGTTCATGAGTGTTACAGCTGGGAACACACATGCCTGGTAGCTGTTACCTCCCTCCATGGATTAAGGATCCATTTGAGAGTGAGGCTTTTTTTTGCCCTGAAAGTACAACTGAGAAATTTCCTCTTCCACCAACAATTTCTGTGGATACTCAGAACCATCCCATCCCCTCTGAATGAACACATGCGGGTTCTGATGTCTTTCCTTTTACCTTCTGTCAGGAGTTATTCCTTTAAAACGGAAGTAAAGCCCCCAGGAATGGTTGTGTTATCTGGAATTGTTCAAGCAGAACTGAGCAGAATTCAGAGGGACTGCCTGGCCCAAGCTTGCTGAGCACACTGCAGCAAGGAGAGAACTCACTGCAGAACCCCAGCTCGGTGCTGAGATGCCTCAGCAAAGCCAGAATGCTTTGGAAATCTCGACTTGGGCTCCTAAATATTTTATTAAGACCGAGGTTCTGCATAAATTATTCAATGTTCTTAGTGCGGGGCCAGCGTTTTCCAAAATCCAGCTACCAGTTTAGAAGTGGATTTTCCACGTCTGATTTCTGCCTTGGAAGTTTACAATTCCAAAGGTAATACACAAAAACCTGCACAAATCCCACCCAGAGAGGATTTAACAGCGGAGGCCACTGGAACAAGTCAATTAGAACAAACTGAGATCATGCTACAAAACCTTGATCAGCTAAAACCAAACAAAGCATGGTTCTGCATAGCTCCATTAACAGGGGTGGGTTTTGAATGATGGCATTTCCTGATGTAATTTGGGATTTAATTTCAAGGTACCATTCCAGCAAACATGACCTCATTCAACACGCTCCCTTCACCTGAGACAGAGGCACAGAATTCTCAGGCTGACTGGCTTACCCAGGGGTTTGGGGCCAACCCACCTGCAGCTCCCACCACTGCCCTCTGCCAGCTGGATGCTGCTTCCCACTGAAGCTGCTCCCACACATCAGGCCAAGCTGGAAAGCAAGAATCTGAAAATTCCATATATTGGAACAACAAAGGGAAAGCTTCCCTTCCTTCAGTGTTTGCATGATTGTAACAGCTCTAGTGAGATTTATCTTTGCAAACCCATGCAAGCAAAGTGCGGGTGAGGTAAAATAATGACTGATGGAAGTGACAGTCCTTCCTGCTGGGATGAGTCACCAGGAGCAAAGCATCCCATCTGGATCTGCTGGCATAGCAATTACTGGGTTTATCTAAGTGTTTTTGATAGCAGCCAGTGAATACAGTATCATTTCTTATTGTAACTACAGAAACTAAATGCCACAGCTAAATCTCTCCACTTTTATCGTTACAAAATGCTCTTCTGCCAATTGCACACCAGAAAAGCTGTTTGTTCTGTTACCATAATGATGCTGAGTGATTAATGGCACTACTGACTGTGATACTAATTGCCATAGGTTTTTCTTTTGTTTTGTTTTAAGGGAATTTGGAATTAGCCTTTTCCTTCCACAGGCTCTGTGTTTCCTTCTCTGGTAATTAGAATTTCTGCTTGCAACTCATACTCCAGGTCAAACACAGTCAGATATTTGCTGTCATCTAAATTCTTTCCTCACAGCAAAATTTTGAAAAAATACTAACAATAAAACCGAAGTGAATCTATAAACTCAGTCTTTAATATGATAATAAACCAATGATTTCTATGGAGAAAATGTTGTACAGAAATTCTCACTTGAATAAGCCTTACAGGATACACTGCTTGTCCTGTGTAATTAGGTTAGAATCTTCTCTCTCAATTTAAAAAACTATGAAATTTAGGTTCTAGGGTGTGATATATTTTGGCCTTAATTCTGCAGAGTGATTTCTAATATCATGAATTGCACCAAGAGAATATGAACACTGTTTTGCAGCAGTCATATCATCATGAGATTTGAGGGGAAGCTATTCATTAAACAGATTATGTATAAATAAATAAAATAATGTATAAATATGTATAAATATGTATAAACATGTATAAATATGTATAAATAAATCAATCAATCACTAAATAAAAGACATCTCGTATTCTGTTTGTATTCCTATTTTTTATCACTATTGTTCAACTCCTGTAACGTTGCCAATGTTAAGTTTTTACTCTACAGGGCTTATTAAACTTTAAAAAATAAATCAGCTTTCTATAAACTTGCAAAAATAAGCTAGTTATCAAACAGCTATATAAGTAAATTGTTACTATATTATCCAGGTAAAGGTATTCCTTTAGACTTCAGCACATTTACTTATAACCCTTTACACACATATAGCAAGCCAAAGTACTTTTAAGTCCGGAAGTCACATTCACAGCTGCTCACAAAGATTTAAACAAACATTTTTTGGCAACTAAACCAGTCAGTAGCTCAGACTAAGCATTCACCCAGAAGCCACATTCTCAGCTCCCAGGCCTCTGCTGCTGGATTCAGGAGGATTGATACCATCTCCTCCTCCCTTCCTTGGTATTCCCATGCAGAGCTTTCTCCCATTACTCAGCTTCTCCACTCCCACCTTGCTCCTGGGTACTGTTGTACCACGTGTGTGAGCTCACCATGCACTGGAAGTATTTTTATTAATTAGTTTTTTCTAATGGTTTAATGTCTGAGAAATGTTCCCTGTTGAAGATTCTGCATTCATAGTATACATTATCAGACCAGCTGGGGTTTATGTGAGGCCTAATTTTAGAGGAATGGTGTGTTCAAGGTGCAAGGCTCTGTCTCTGGTCAACCACGTCACCGCACTTCAGGCCCACTTAACTTCCCAAGTTTATATTATAAAACTATTGCATGATTTTTGTGCTTTTGTCCCTTCAAAATAAACCACCCTGCAGACTGTCTGCAACAAAGAACAGAGCCAACAACGGGGCAACACTCAGTAACAGTGTCTGCTGAGTGCACACAATTTCCCTGTCACTGCCATGCTTTTTCCAAAAGCAATCCCTCAGCTGCTCCTGGGAATGCTCTCACAGCCCTGCTTCCAGCCTCAGTGGCTCTCAGGAAGGCTCAGGTGTGTTTTGCCCTCACTGTGATGACCCAAAGCTCTGCAGCTCCTTCCTCTGCTTCGCTGTCCCTCCGAGCACATAATTTCCAGGCTCCCCTACCTCCAGGCTCACCCATGTGGCAGCAGCATTACTTCACAGTTCTTACAACACAGTCTCCACCTCATAATTAAACTCCTTTCTCTGCTTGCCTTGCCCAAAGAAGCATTTTGTAAGACACAGGTGTTTATCTCAGGCAGCAATGTGTGCAGAGCCCCATTTGCACGAGGACTTCCTTTCTCAAACACTTTTGTTGAACTGGCTTTCCTAACTATTAATCTGATTTAATACACAAAAAAATAGGCTGAAGTGGAAAATATGCATTTTCCCAAGAGGGAACTTTTCCATAAATTTTGTTTTAATCTTTCACTGCTTGCTTCTCCTGAGGATGACTTGGTGAGTTGCTCCTCTAAAATCCTACAGTTTGGTTGGTTGATTATTAAAGTAATCCACAATAAAGTGGATGATAAAACATCCTTCTTCCAATCAGTGTCTATCTTTGACTGTTTCATTCTTGGTGACAAGTGTCCTAAATATTTATCCCTGTTTGAATCACGTTTTTCCCCTGCAGTTGAAAATGGTAAAACCCCAGGGGGTGGTGGCCCTGGAAGTTTTGAAGTTTTGTCCAATGAGTGCTTCTGCAAAATATAAACATATCACAACCAAACGGAAGAGAAGAGTTGTAGTTTTGGGTTGAAGAAGAAGCAGCCATGTTCTCAAACCATGACACCCTGTTCCAAAACTGAGAAATTCCCCCCCCCCTTCAGCTTTTGTTCCATGTTCTCTAGGACAACCCAGCTCCACACATTTCACCAGCCTTACTCTGCATCAGAGCTGCTTTGGGGAGTGTTTTGGGTCTACATCTGCACATTCTTAAGAACTTTTCATTGGGTGTTAGACATTTGCAACAGCTCATTGTGGCATTTGAATTCAAGGCAGAATCATTAAGTATTCATCTGACAACTCTTCTGGCAGCAAAAAGCAAGGGCTTAAATTACCTATGGGTACCTCTGAAAGCTGTAATGATTCTGGCACTTTGCCTAGAAACTTCAGAAACCAAATATCTTCATCTGGATCCTATTCATGAGAAACCCTTTTCCCATTCCCCCTGCATCCTGCAAGAGCCAAATCCAATATTTTAAAACAGAGCTCTGGGGACACATTGTAGGAGTGAGCCCAAGACAATAAATTTAGAATCACAGATCTGTCCTAGAGTTCTAGACAAAGGCAATAAAGTCACTCTGACTTGGATCAACACAGCACCACGGTTTTGACAGCTGAGCAGCTCAACAGAAATCTGTGACCAGCACAGGAATGGCCAAGTAGCAAATACTGCACCTCCAGACTCTGAGGAGCTGTCAGTTGTTACCCAAGACATTCTGAAGATGTTTTCTCATTTTTTTACAGCATAAGGGGGGAAAAAAACCCCCACAGTAATGACACACAACAATGGTTCTTTAAACCCTCAATTTCTATTACATTTAAATTCCTCCTATAAGAAGGAACAAAGAAGAGAGCCACAGGAGGTCCTCATGGACAGAAGGATGTGTCTGTCTGTGATGGCTGGTTACCTTATTTATTAATTACTCCTCTATTCAAATGAGGGCAGTATTATAATACACTCCTTATTAATTCTATTTAAAATTTCCCTTTGCCCTCGAAGAACAGGTTAGATCTAGCTGCTAATTGGTTCTCATGCCCCTTATGAGACTTAAAAAGGGGGCCACGGATCAGCCCAGATATGTTCCTACTCTTGCAAAAGGGGTCAGGTGATTCCACAATCAGTTTGCTTTGCACAGTGCACAAGAAGCCAGTCTTTCCCAAATTACTCAGACAGCTTCTTCTCTCCCAGAGGTACATTTAAAAGCAAAACAAATGCTTAATAAAGAACAAAGTAGTAGAGATAAAGTCAGCAGCTGAGACCCGTTTTACCGTGTAACACACTTGGCACACCCCTTCTAGGAGAACATCCTTACTTGCAAAAGAGAGAACTAAAATATTTTTTTTTCCCCTGTTAAGAATAAATATTCTCAAAAATCAGGTCAGTTATTTTGGTGACAGACCAGTTTTAGGGATAGCTGGGAACTCTGTGGTTGAATAGGAAGAACAATAAACCCAGGCTTTTTTATTCTCCCCAAAAAGGCTCTATTCAGCAGTTGGGAGCGTACTACAACCCTTCCCTGACCTTGGGATGGATTTTCTGGCTCTGTTCTCCCCTGCACAGCAAAAACCCAGACCTGGAGCAGAAATCTTCCAGTAGCTGCCTCTGTCTGGCTGTTTGCAGGGAGTGCAGCACACTGAGGTCACAGAACTCATTATTTCACCTCTTCCTCATTTTTTAGGTCACACTGATTCAATTGCAGCCTTATAAAAGGTCTTTTTTAACTCTTTCCAGCTTGCTAGGATTTTATTCTCTTTATCTAGTCCTTTCTACCTGGAATCCTGCTTCCAGCACACAGGAAAAGGTATCTGAGTTTGCCACCTCACTTTAAACCACACCAGGTAAACAACACTATTTACCAGGATAACATGCCCTGACTTCTTCCAAACAAATAACACAGAAGTTTTATGCCAAGGGCTTTGAATACAGCGTAAGTATTTGGAGTTCTAGTGTCTGTGATATTCTTTCACTAGAAATTCAAAAACAAACTGAATGCTCTACATCTTTGTAGTACAGGAAGTTTAAATGTCCTGTTTGCTGTGAATGCAAACCACTGTATATTTTTAAATTCTCCTCTAGCTTTTTTTTCTTTAGCAAAGAAAACACAGAAACTTTTTTTTTTTGCTTAAGCATGTCACAAATAGAGGCATGTGTGGACTAAAATAGAAGCATTATTACTGATTCAGCAAAATCCTAACTTTCATGAGTCAAAGGGTACATGTGTCTATACTGATCACAAGTCAAATACTGTTTTATGATCTTTGGACACATTAAACAGAAAATGACAATTCCAGTGCTAACTGCGTTACGATTCCAGAGGCAACACCAACACATTCAAAACTTTTCAAAGACTTCTTCACTTATTCCTGTTCCGAAAACCTTAAATCTTTGGATTGCTCCTTATGATTCTTATGCAGGATTACAAAGCCCAGAACAGAAGAAACCATTATGACAGAAATTATCCCAACAACCCTTTACCTGAATGGCTCAAGCAAATCTTCCAAGAGACATAACATGCAAGTTGTTGCCTAAAAAAGTGTGAAGTTACATTTAACTTAACAGAAGACTAAGTATCATACAACAGTTCAGTCTCTGGGAATGAATAATTAGTACTTAGCAATCCTGACAAACTTCCAACAATCAGAAGCTAAAATATTTCCCGTGAGATGTCTTGCTCTATTTTTAAAGTATGTCCAGAAACTCTAGAGATGGGCAGCTCTCTCTAACAGGAGACACCACTCCAGAGCAACAGGAACAAGAATGTTTTACTTTTGTGCTGCCTAGGACAGAAAGGAGACAGCAGCCAGTAGGATTCTCTTACATTTAAAAAGCAATATAAGCATTAAAATAAACTGTTCTAAAATTCAGTTCTCTAAGAGATGGGTTACCTGGATAAGTTCTGTTGCCTTTCTGGGGAGGGAGATGGTCCAACACAAGGATCCATTATCACTGAAGGATTAGTCCCCCAGATCTAGAAGGGAAGAGACCTACTTCCATAGCTGCAGGTAGGGTATTTTTTTAAAGTCCATTCCAAGTAGATTATGTGCCTTGTAAGACATGCAGAGCAACCACTACTGAACTTGCAGAGTCTTTAGTGCCACTCTTACTGTCAGAGACACAGGAGCACGGGCTGTCAGCTCTTTATTCCTGACTCCCTGGACTTTGCTGTTCTCTGGTATTTGAGGGTGCCTGTAACCTCACCTCATGGTAGAAAAGCCACTGACCAATGAACACTCTGAATCTTAAGACTCTACAAGTTGACCAGTATTTTCAGCTACTCTTCCACATTTTTGCTGTGAGCAGCTGAGCCCCAGGAGCTGAACATACCTGTCAGAACTGCTGGACACAAACCCCTGCTGAGCCCACCCTGGGGCTAAAGAGCCTCTGTGCTGTAACATAAACGGTCTCCAGCCAGATACATGCCAAAAGGATACAAGCCACACAGCCCATACTGAAAGATGCTGTCAGGTTTAACGTCACAGTAGAAGTTAGCATAGGAGAATAAACCCATTTAGACCCTTCATTACAATTTCCTCTCATTCCAGCCTGAAAAGATGCACCTTTTTCTGCACTAGAGACACCATTAGGCAAAGCTGTGGCTGCAGGACAAGACAAACTTAAGTTGTGAAAAACTGGTAGGTCAGTTTATTAAAATAAATGCTCAAGCTACTTTACCCATTTTCATGGCTTCCTGAAACACTGCCTGCATTTTCATCCTGTGGCTGTTTGGTGAGAGTCTCTCCACTGTTGGGCATCCTGACAAAGCCTCCAAGGCTGGGCACAAATATGCTAAAGGACTGTGCGAGTCAGGCAGAAATAAACTACTTGGACAACTGAAGAAACCAACAGTAATGGGTTATTTGTTAAAAAACCCACCACGTAACACAAGAGGAGGAGACTGCAGCCACAAAAGCTGTTTCTTTCTGATTTTAACATGCTTGAAATGTCGCAGTGCCTGGGAGCTGCTTACTGTTAAACTTTCCTTTTAATTCAGTTTTCTTTAATTATCCATGAGAAGAATTTTAATGAGTCTACAATGCTTTAAGATGCAAATCTTTTCTTTCGCCAGGATTTCCAACAACTTGGTTCACAGAGGTTGAAGCGATTCTAAATTTATTAACTCTGGTTTCGAAAAGGGACGTTCAGTGAAGCTGTTTCCTTAAAGAAAATGCAGATTAATTACATTAGGAAATGCCTTCAAGTCAGTTATACCTATGAAGCCCAGCACTGCAACAGCCAAGCCCCTCCTCCAGCACCACAGCTACACCAGCACTTCCTCGGCTTCACCAGACCAGGCCTGTCCTCTAATGTGGAATTTTCTACACATGACTGAACAAATTACTGCCCAGGATGTAAGAAAGTCTAGGCAGCTACTTAGGCCACTTCTACACTAGTCAACAAAACAACATCCAGAGAATGGCTCAAGCCACCCACTGTGAGCACCTTCCCTGGGATGGTTTGGTCTGTGGGAAGTGGAATTTCCCTGAGCCAGGGGATAACCTGGAGATGGTGTTAATGGTTACCCTGTCTGGAGAGGAGGAGGGATGTGAGCCATGCTGTGCCACAGCCTTCAGAGCCAGAGAACATCATCTGGAATGTTTAATTTACAGTTCAAACACAGCCACAGTGATTGGGAGTATCTAAGACTAGTAAATGTTAACTTTATACAAAGATGTGGATTTTATTCCAGAGTATCTTACACCTTATCCAGATATGTGATTGTAGACAATGCAACCTGTAGTGAAAAGAAAGAGAACTCTGCAGTGAGATCTAAGGGGTCTATTCTCACAGCAGAAACTTGCTTTGAAAATACCCAAACACGGAACAGGGGATATTTCAATGGTAAAAATGCGTCATCTCATGCAGCAAAAATTCATTTTTGTCAGGATTGATTTAATTCCTTCAATTTGGGATAATTCTCCAAGCTCTGACTTTGTTCCAATGATTCTTTGCAGGAAGCTGCCTCAGGTATCTTCCTTGGACTTGCAACCAAATTTGCAGTAATATAATAAAACTGCTGCAAGAAAACTAATTTTTTTATTCTTCTGATAATCTAAAATGTTTTACATGCTGTATGAAGGAATCCAATTAGACAACTGCTCATTACCTTGCTTGGGTTGCACGTTGGGTGTTGAGTGGCCAGGTAATAAGCTGGTCTCATGGCTAAAGCTTGTACTTTCAGCAAATCAACAGAAAACCTCAAATATACATGTCTTCTACACACACTGTGTTTAGAAAGGATTTTTTTGTTTTATCTTGATTTTCCTATAATCTTCCTTAAACTTACTGTTGGTATTTTGACACACTTCCTCCATAACACTTCCTCCAAACACTTCCTTCCAAATCACTTCCTCCATAACAAGGGTAGTTGCAGGGCTGGCAAGTGGGGAAGCAAGGGGGATTTACTGGGGGGAACTGGGGGAGAAGAGTTGCTTTTGGACTCTGTATCACGTGACTGTAACAGAAAACTCATGACTGTGACAAACTGTAGGTTTCCTGCAGTTGTCAGCTACAAACACTCCCTTGAACAACAGGCTCAAGCTGTAAGAAACAGTTCTACACAAAATCTGCCTTTGTAGTTCTGGTACACTCCTAGGCACCCTTCAAGTTTCAAGAAATAAATCCTAACAAATCAGGCTGGCAACTTGTGTAGAATTCAGCAGGAAAGGCCTCTGCCTCAAATCATTTTTCCATGCTGCAGCTTACACGATGCTCTGATCCTTTTCCTTTCTGCCTAGACCTGCACACGAGCTGCACAAGACTGGATTTTTGTGGTGGGCTGGGCTGCTTTTTGCAGCCACAGGTTAAGATTTCTGGGCATTGGCAGGCACAAGAGGCTGTGAAGGACCAGAAGAGGCAAATGGAGCTCCTGCACTGTTCACATCCTCTGCTCTGCAGTTACGATCGGTCTCCCTCACAAATTTGCAACCGATACCTCAGAGTTGAAGACCCGGTCCCCACAAACTTGCACTGTCACAAAATCTCCCACAGAGCTACTGGAGAGGCCCAAACAAAGCCACGTTGTTACCAAGGTCAGCGAGCAGCCCCGGCGTGGGTGGAGCGTGGCTGGGACAGGATGTTTCAGGTTTAATTCACAAACGCCGCTATGGTAACAAGACACTCCTCCAGCTCTGCACTCCCCCAGCTGTTTACCTGGGAGGTAAGAACGGGAACGTGGATGTTTCACCATAAAACCTGTATTTCTTTAAAATGAATGAAGGAGTTCCCTAATTCTGGATGCTCCTCGCTGTTCATCCCAGTCAGTTTAAGCAATCGTGTGATAGCCCCCCCTCTTTTTTTTTTTTTTAAGTCGTGTAACTGGTAACAAATATCTTCGTGTAAAACAATGTTTTTTGGTACAAACATGATATCATGATATTAAACTGGCAGTCCCATTGTTATTCCAGTCTTCCAGCACTGAGTCTAGAAAACCAAACCCCTCACCCCACAACAGCCACCAGCAAAACATCTATATAACCTTTACCTTTCCTATTTCAAAGGCTTTGTTACATTTCTTTATAAAATGGCACCACTTCTAATCTTTTTTTCATTATTTTCAATCAGTTCTCTTAGAGCCTGGCAGCTTTTCAACTTGCTACTAATTGCAGCCCTCTGCCTGCTACGTTCCTCAAAGGCTCTTAACTGCATTTACTGTGATTATTTACAGCTTTCACACACAATGCATTCATAGAGCTTTCTTTTTCCCAGTTTCTCATAAAATTAAGGATTTAATTTGGCGGCTAAAACACTTCAGCTAAAATAAAAACAAAATTAGCTCCACAGTTACTGTTAAATGAGACTAGGTTTCAGGGTTTATGAAAACTACTAAATCCAAACGTGTCTTCAAACACTACTGTGGCAAAGCCTCCATTTAAGTCTTACTAAACAAGTGAGTCTCAACCCACACCTTAAAGATCAACCAATTTACCCTGCTTTGGGCCAAGGATATGATGCTGAGGGCAGATTCCACAATGGAAAGGTCCAGGCAAGCAACATCTTTTTAAATTCACATATGTTTTTTTACACTAATTCATTTCTAATTCAGATTAGAGAAAGGAGAATTTTTACCCCTACCTGGGTCTCCCTACACTTGCAGAACTACAGAGAATTTATCCATACTCACATCAGCATCCATAGGCAAACCAGAGACTGCCTCGTGTACCCTCATCAGGTGAAGCAGTTTATCCCACAAGACCCTTTGCTACCCACAAGCACAGCCAGCTGAATGGATTCATATTTCACCAGATTTCCACCAGCAACCTCCCCGTACAAATGTTTTCTCTCATTGACCACACCACAGCAACAGGATTTTCATTTTGCTTTTCTGGACAATGTATTCTGCTTTCTAGGGAACTGTTCCCCAGAAATACAGAGAACAAGACAGTAGTTGGTGCAAAGCTTCTGGAGTCTGAGTGCCAGTAAAAAATATCTCAGGTTTGCCTGTAACTACCAGTTTGTACTAACTAAGGAAGAGGGTTCTGGGGAGGGGGGAAAGTAGCTGAAAATGCACATCTGGAGAAAGAGGCAGCTGTTTCTGAGCAACTGGAGAGAGGCAGAACATCCCATCAGGTCAAAACAACAGCTGGTCTGAGGGCAGGCACATCCAGAAACTATTTTGCTCCTTCTTCCTGAGGAAAAGATTGGTTTAGACTCAAAGTAAGTAGCTGCATTTTCACATTTACCTATAGGTGTTCTTTTATCCTGCCATATTTGCAGTCAAATTTTCTACAGGCCCAAACCACTTGGAGATGCCCAGCCTCTAACCAATAAAAATTGCATTATGAAAACAGGTCTTTCTTACTCTTTCTGCATTACTAGCAATTAAAATTAACTACTACAGATTGATGCAAATTTTAATTAAATTTGCCTCAGAAAAATCCTCTAAAGATGCTACTCACTCACTATACACTGCCTTGAAATAACTCAAAACAAATGCCATCATCTAAATTTTATTGCAGATACAGATCTTTTACTCTCCATCTATAGCAGAATGATTTACCCAAGAAATTTCTGTGTAAAACATCCCTTTCAGATATTAATTCTGGGTCCAGTACTGTTAAAGGGCCATTACATGGAACTGTTATACTTGACTTTTTAAAGCAAATTTTTAATAAGACTAAATATGATAGGTTAAAAATATTATTCCAAGAGCGTTTTCCTAACAGCTTTGTAGAAATTGTGACACTTGTTCAGGTTTGGATGCTTGAAAGAATCCAGCTCAACACTAAGGAAAGTCTGCTGTGATTCTAATTTCACCTTCCTGAGGAACTACTGAAGCTCTTTACACAAATTTAGTGTGACTGAGAACAGACACAAGTTTCCAGCCCTCAGATTTCTGATTTTTTTTTTTTCAGGTGTTTGTAATAAAAGTTATTCTTGGCACTTCTTTACAAAAATCAAGGGTGCTGCAAGAAGCTGCAATTCAGCAGATTGTCCTCTCACCTGTGTCTCCAGGATGCTGCTTCCAACAATAAGGAGAACTGGTAATATGGCCAGATAAAAGACAAGAGATGCAAACAAGTAGATTCTGGGAGTATTTGATATAGCAAGGATTAAAAGATAAATGTATAGTTCTTGTAGCATATAAAGATGCCACATGCTCCCAAGGTCAGGGGGGAGGCAGTGGTTTAACTCTTGTTTTGTGCAAACAGAACCCATTTCAGAATCAATTAAATGAAATGAGCAGCAGATCTAATTATTCCCCTTTTCCAGGCCAGTCCTGCCTCCTTGCAGAGCACAGAAATTCTCTGCTTGTTTTCCTGCTTACACCTACACACAATTTTGACACTGGGCAAGTAAAAAGTGACATGGTGACTGATGTTACATGTGGCAGGAGGGAAAGAAAG